TAATGACTGCGGTAAACCATCATCCCCATGCTGGTTATGCGGAGGTTGGCATTTCAAAAGGTTTTGTCCGTTTAAAAGTCATCGTTGTACTACGTGTTCCAGGAAAGGACACAAAGAAAGTCATTGCAAAACCCGTAAACGTCGTCAACCTAAAGTTTATTCTAAAAGATTCAAGCCACGCACAGCCAAGGTGACGGTAGCTGCTAACAGAATCGGCTCCCATAATCGTAGAAAGTATGTTTCCCTCAAGATTAACGGGTACGATGCCCGCTTACAGCTAGACACAGCTTCCGATATAACGCTTACAAGCAGGAGGACGTGGGAGAAAATTGGGAGGCCGAGAATATTTTCAACCTATCAGACAGCACACGGCGCATCTGGGGGGATTATAAACATTGCTGGTGAGGTTCACTGTAAAATCACAGTCGCAGAGCTTACAAAGAAGGGAGTAATATTTTTAACAGAACGACCAGCACTCGACTTATTGGGACTTGATTGGATAGAAAAGTTGAAATTATTAGATCGTCCCATAAATTCAATCTGCAACAACGGCACTATGTCGAAAGTTGGGGACCCAACATTGTTTCGTGGGGGAGGTTGAAGTCAGCAAATGCAGTCTGGATACCTACCCCGTTTCTTCAAAAAAGGGGAGGTGTTAAGTCGGTTTCCAGAGAACTCCAACAGAGCCTCCAGAGGCTCAAAAAGAGCTCCAACCAATCAGAGCACGACAGAACATTCTGGAGTTCCAACGTGGCATGCTACCATTGGTCAGTAGCAATATATGTCGTTTATTGGATTGGCTGAATTAGGATGTTGATTTAACTTAAGCAAACATCTATAAATACTTACGATTTTTCTGTACAAAACTGAACCTTGCAATAAAGCATCTTCTCGCTACTCGTGTCTTCTCTCTGGTCTTCAAGTTGCTGAGTAGTGCTAGCCTAGGGTTGTCCGAATAGCTTAGGATCTGAATAAGCGTTCAACCCACAAGACATATCACAGTGTAAACTAGTGGCATTAGCATAAAGATCGAAAACACTTATTCTAAACAATGTATTTTAAGGTCCTACAATGCGAAGTAATACGGATGGAGAGATAAATTTTTTTTAAAAGTAAATTTGACGCTAGGTGATGTTATACTGTTGAATTTAGATCTTGGTAACAACAGTTAGATTATTCACCATTAATAACGACTGCTTCGGGCGATTTCACCATCTCACAAAGACAGAAGAAGAAATCGTTCGAAAAAGTAGTTTACTGCCTCGTCCCACAGATTTCTGATGGAATCAAAATATAGAATTGAAGACAAATATCCGTGAAACCACTTTGTATTGTTTGTTTGAATCTCCTCATTGATGTTTAGGACTGCAGGCTTAATTCACAATCATTAAGGCTACAATGAGGTAATACGCACACAAGCCAATAGGAGACTGATCAATTGCAGTCCTAAACATCTATGGGAAGATTCAAACAAACAGTACCGAGTGAATTTAAACTTTACCCCATTGCACAAGCAGGTGGTTATCAGGACTCCGTAGCTGAGTGGATAACGCGATGGCGTTTGAAGCGAACGGTACTGGTTTCGAGTCCCAGAGTGAACATCAACCCTGAGATACAGGTACATCCAGCTGACGAGTCCGAAGTAGGAAAAAACGCGCGTCCTGGATTCTACTGCTGGCCACTTTTCATCTTTGCTTACAATATTTACAAAACCGCTGTGTGTAAAATGTGATCTATAGACGAACCCACCACCACAGTAACCTACTTTGACATTGTAAGACTATGTTTTGCTTATCGACCAGACATGGGTTCGAGACCCGCGTGCGGGACCCTGAATGCGCATTAGTGAGGAGTCTCATACTAGGACGAAACGGACGTCCGGTGCTTCTGAGTTTTCAATGATCTAGTTTACATTGACTAATGAATCCAACTATCAAAATAACTACTATCTCCACAAACCTCCATTCTAATAATAATCATAATTTTATGTTTATCATGAACGATATTAAGTCCGTTGACTTATTTTTCCTATCCTCTGCTTACTGTTCGATATATTATTTATCTCTCTTTTTACTGTATAAATTGTTTATTTTGTACACTGTGTTAATTTACTTGTTCTGACTTTGGCTATGCTAAGACTGTGCACGACAGTCTAGAGAATAGATTAGAATTGAATCTGTAGGAAATTACTTCTCACATAGCGATCAAGAAGTTATCTATTAAAATTAACAGCCACGTTCCCAAGTTGACGACACTACAAATACAAATACACATTTCTTAAGTTTTCCAAGAAGATATATTCTTCCATAGTGTAAGCGTCAATCATCGGAACACATCAAGCAGCAATTGGATGGATCAGTTTATTCAAGGAAACAAAATAGTTTGTAATGAGTTAGTGCTCAAGGTTTGGGGAACTAATTAGGTGGAAAATGTGATTTAGAATGCAGCTTCAAATATTTCATGAGTGAGGATTAGTGATACAATACGGGTACCCAAATAGAAGTGCATGCGAGATGGAGTAGAGTAATTCCATTACCGAGCTATCACTTGATTCATCCAGTATTGGGAGTTAAATTGATGAACAGTAGCAATTGCATAAATAATTAAGTTTGTTTGAGTATAACATTTACTTACCTTCAAATGAATCAAGATCAATTTCTGGCTCTCCATCACTTCCTTCAACTAACTGGTAGTTAGATAAGGTTGCTGATGATTCATGGTATTTCTCCAATTGTAGTGATTCAGAAGAGCTGTGATTGTTGTTATTATCTTTTGAAGTGGATGATATTGTCGTAAACTGTATTCTACTTTCATTTAAGGTAGTTTGTTGATCTGGTCTATTAGTAGATATAGTGACAGTAGATGGTTGACATGTAGCTGATTTTGGACGTACTGTTACATTTGAAGAAGGAGACCTGTTTCAGAAAACAAAAACAACATAAAAAGTTATTTAAAAATATCCACTTTTAAATAAAACACCACGGTATCAAAAAACAATGGTTTACATATAATGCATAAAAATATAAACACCTGAATACATACAATGCATATACTTCTTCAATACAATCATTTGTTAAGTGAATACTCTGGTTCCTTATTTCATCAACTAATTTGACCACTTTCTTCGAGCACAAACTTCAAAGATTTTTATTGAGTATACCTAATAATAATAAAAGTATGGGTAGATAAGACAGAAACAAAACTTACTTCACACTCAAATTATAATCGATACAGTGATAATCGTAACTTCCTCCGATAGCACTATGTAACGTTCGTACTTGCGCCGTTGTGTTAGAACAAGGTTTACTACCTAAACCAAGTGCAACTAATTCATCATCTGGTTGTCCTATTCCTTCTTGGTTAGCTAGTAAACTATCATTAACTCTCTGACTAGAATTATTCACAGTATTCGGTAATGAATTATTTGGAACGCATGACTGAAATTTGGGAGATTTTAATTTTTCAATAGATTGACGATGATGTTGATGCTGAGTAGAAGTACTAACTCGAAAGAATGGCAAACTAGATATAGGTTCAACAACTAGACCGATGCCATCAATAGTCTGAAAGTAAAAGAAACGTATAGGCATAAAATACGAATTAAATTTTGCAATTTTATGAAACATATAACTACTTAATGATATATATATATATATATATATATATATATATATATAGTTTCGATAATCGATGTTAATTTACATAAAGTATGGACAAACAAAACAGCTCAATAAAGACTAACCTGCATTTCAACCATTAGTTCTCCGATAACACGCTCAGCTTGTTCAGAAGCCAGATATGTAAGGAGACGTTTAACCTAAAATCGATCCGAAAACATATAAAATATATATTCACTTAAACTATTATTTACAACTATTTTCTGTATCAACGCATTACTATAAAACTGGATTTCTAAAAAAATATTGCAGTATTTTGATGTTGGGCCAACATTTGATGTCAGTCAAGTGCTACTTACTCATGATGAGAATATTTGATAGGAAGTTGGAGAAACTTCAGGTGAAATAGTCAAGTCCTTGAACAGGAATATAAACTCTGTAAAACTGAAATCGACACACGCGTCTTGGTTATGAGAGCAAATTATCATTAACAATACAGAACCACATAATGTCTTACTGAAAATGGGGGGTGAGAATAGACAAGGATAATAATAATAATGAGAAAATAACTAGAAAGCCCCATTTCAAGTCTAGTTAGTCTTTTATTTTATATATGAATGTTTTTAACAAGTATATGTGTGATCAGATTGTTCGAAATGTATTGCGCTAATATATCACACAGTTTTGATAATCTTCGTCTTCTTATTACACTATCGAAATTCATCAAAGAGACTAATTGCTTAAAATTACTTATTTTTCACAGCTAATTTACTTTCTTTCGCTTTATTCAGATATTTACCATCCGTGGTTTCATATTTTTATGAAGTGATGTAAAGTGAATGAATACGTTGGTGATCAATTTGGTTTCATTTATCCATCAGCGACGTAGAAACTGACAAAAAAGTATACCAGCCATATGTTGAAGAGTTCCAGAGTATTCCTCGGAAACTTCAGAAGGAGCTCAGAAAACACAGAAACATTTCATCCAATCAACTTTGAATAGAAGCGTCGCAGAAACATCTGAAAGTGAAGCCACGAGTCACATTTCTGATTAGATTTACCTATGTTACTACTATATTTAGTATTGTTCCAGAAACTTCCAGAAGTCCAAGGCCGTCTCCAATATTATGAATACTCTCGTTTTTCTGTGCATAGACTAACCCTGGAGTAGCGTTCTTGTTGTACTCCCTGACTTTTCGCTTGTGCTTACGTTGCCGCGTAGATTTAGTCAGAGGCTATTAGAAGCGGCTAGCGAATTGGATGGAGCGTTCAATTAACAAGACTTATCACCCTGATCTCCACACGTCACATCAGAATTATGAATAAAACTTTATTACATTGGGGATATCGAATCGCTATACTTTATACTTGAAAGCATTTACTTATTGGTTTGTGACAATTTCAGTGTACAATTTCTGCCTTGTTCCAAAAATTACCGTACATACAGTCATATGCGCGTGCTCCCTGCTTAATTTCATCTTGTCCTTTACCAAATGAAACTTCCTAGCAAAATTTGTCATTAAGAGTAACCAGGAGCTTTTAGAAAATGAGGAATTGTGGTATCTAAGCATCGAATGTAAGCTAATAGCTATTGCAATATTGCAATATCATTCGTAAACTAAAAGTAGGAAACAGTTCAAAATTAACCGATGAAATCAATGAATGAAAATTACTTAGCGGTTAGATGATAATTCATAGGGATACCAAATACAATCGATACATCTGTCTTACAGAAACTGATTTTCAGTTATATCACTAGAGTTCCCCAACAATGATTACCTCGAACCTCAGTGAGAAAGTTTGTACATCCTGACATTACCCAATTGGCTCAAAATCGTTTGCAATGGCGAAGGTGCATCCACTCTTCGTGCTCTACCAAATTTTAATCTTCTGAATTCTTCATGTCCCTATCTTTTTTTTCTCTTTCCAAATTTATTTCACTGGATTATACTCCTTGAATAACATCTTGAAACCCTAATCTTTCGGCTTATTGCTTATACTCATACTACTTCTACCACTATGGGATTTGAATCGACAACTGCATCTCTGTGTTAATGTGGTATGGCAACTCGAACTGATGTACGTACGTACGAAGTTCTACGTTGTGACTGACTGACTGACTGACATTACCCAATGATCTTCCAAACTGATTTCATTTTTCATCTCACAGAGCGTAACTTTCCCATTTACTCCTGTATATTAGCTACAACGGGGTATCGGTGTAGGGGTTAAACGTATCCTGGTCAGCCGAGTCACTAAAGAGTTATCAAATGTCTAGTCATATCGAATTTTACCCCAGAATTACACATCCGGTGGCCCCATTCTATGCGAGCACATAATAAAAAATTAAGAAACTTACATGTACTAACAGAGTACCGGGTGCAATAGAAGTAATAATGATAAGATATCGAAGAATCACACGTAAATTCGTTGATCTGTAGCGAATTAATGTCAACCAAAGTCGTTTTATTACCTCAGATGAAGTCGGACAATCAGCAAGTCTTAAGGATAAGTAGAAAAGATTTGTAAGCACAAATTCGGTGGCCTGAAAATAAAACCGAAAGTAGTGTTGTTCCTTTAATAACAATAAAAGGCATTGCATAACTATTACCGATATGTATAAAAACGTTCATTTTTTTCACTGCAACACAAATGTTTTGGAATAGTACTAGCAGTTTCATGTAACGGGTTGGGTAACGACACAGTGTGAATCGTTTTAATGAATTGTATTGAAGTGAAGATGAACGGTTGATTAACTACAATTAATAAATTTATGAAATACTTTCTCTTCTACAGTTTTTTCGTCTCCAAAGAAAAAAAACGGCAAATCAATTAATATATGTAGCATTGTGAACATAATTCCTTGTGAAATGTTTGCAAGGTGATAAATAATGGTATAAGTTAAATAATAGTAGATAGCTAACTTATACTTATAAGAAGTTAAATGCCATCACTGTAAAAGGTACACTTCTGACAGAACTACTATACGTAATTTCCTAGTTTTTGCACAAGACATAATAGGAGGGGTAAAGAGAAAAGTTATTGGCATGCAAACTTTAATTAGGGAGCAGTCAGGTGAAAGAATTCATTTAGAAAGAAATGTCACCTGATTAAATGTAACCTAACTAATCATATTAACACAAAATACTCCGAAATCAATTAAGACAAAAACCGATCCAAATTCTATATTACATCAACACTATGAATAGTTCAACTAACTTTTTTCGATCCCCATCCTCTAGAGCGAAGAGTAGGAGGCACAGTTGACCAATGTAGTTCATTATTATTAGTATTATATTTGCATCCATTCTTCTTGAAATGATTATGAAGACGACAAGCTCGAGGACTATAAATATCTGCGTGTTCATCTGCCATAGTTTGACGTGCGCGCATTCTCAACAGTGTTAGTGATTTGAAATTTCGATCGTTAACAACATTATCTGAATCAGTGTCAGCATCCTCATGATCATAAAGTGATTCTGAATTTAAAAAGTTTTTTGAACATTTGTATCGTTTTGATGGACGTGTACGATAATCAGAACAATCTTTTCGTTGCTGTTGTTCTGATGTATCAAGTAAATTGGTGGTATTATAAGCTTTGAATGTAGGAATTCCGACAGATTCAGGTAAATTGACAGATTTTTCGAAGTTATTTGACGGACAGATAAAACTATCTTTATCTAAATCGGAAAAATCATCATCTTTATCCATACTATGATTTGTTGCATCGAATAGATCACCTTCCACAAGATCTACAAGTTCCACATTGACAAGCCAAATTGAAAGTAAATGTAATAATGGGATGCGTAAACCCTCTCTAGCATTTTCAAGACGTTTAGAAACCTCTACAGTTCAAACAACAAGAAAATAAAACTTTGAGGAATATACAAAAATTCACCATGCAAGTATAATAATAAAATTAAAATAAAACTCAGTCTAAAGCGTCTCCAGAATTATTGCCGGTCTCAAACCTGAATAAAGGAGGAGGGTTGAACATATATATATATCTTCCAGTATGATTTACATATAGAAGGTGGGTTTTTCACTAATGTGATAACTTCAATAATTTAGTAATTTGATCGTCCTTTTGTTGGTGAAATTTATTACAAATTCTAGTCTGCAGTGTTAAAACTGTACATGACACCAAGGTTTAGAACTAGAATTGATTAACATACGATCATTTTTGGTTTGTGTAAAATTATGCAGAAAATATAAAATGACAAAAAAAGAGTATACATAATACTAACCAGAAAAAATAGTGAGTGTAAATTCAGGATGTTGAGCGGAAAACTGTCTCAAAACTTCACAAGGAGACCAACGGTTAAAAGAATGGTAAAATAGTTTATTTATTTGCAAGTATTTACACAACTGAGAACAGTCACAACCCCCTGGTATGCACAAATTTGGGGATGATTGAGAATTAGCTGCTTCGTTGGGAACGAATGATTTATCAATTTCTGTTGGATGTGCTTGTTTGAATAGAATTTCGCCAGGCTATTAAACATAAAAGAATACATATAGAGATGGTTGAAAAGATAATGTGTTATGTCTTGATAAAAGTTTCTCCGTACTGTATAGGAAATTTATTTGGATATCGGTTTTTCATTGGACACATTTCGAAATGTGTCATTCTTTCCTAGATAGTTCTTTTGGTTATGTTAAATGGTATTTTCACTCAACTATATTTACTGCTAAGATGATAGAAATGAAAACGGTCCGAGTAACGCCTAGCCCATTTATGATATCACTCCCTTCTTTACATGACATCATTTTCCACAAATAATTATTAATCGTTCTTAAAAGTTTTGTTACACATTTTTTATCATGTTTCTCACGCTTTCCTGTGTTGTTTCAAACTCAATTTTATTCAGAAAAGTACACGAAACTCAGCTTATGATAATACTATTACTCTTGACTTCGAGGTGTTTGGAGACGATATTAGGTACAAAAAGAAACCTAATAATCCTGTAGAATTAGATAGACTTCAAATTAAATCGGCGATAGCAGTTCACGTCATTTTCAACAATCATCAAATTGACTTCAAAAATATCAAAATACTACAAAAAGGTTTTTCCAACTACAAAGAAAGAAGAGTAGCTGAAGCTTTCCATATAATGCTTAATCCCACAGCTCTCAATAGAAAGGAAGGCCTTACCATACATCCTACCTGGACCATCTATCCTAGTCACTTAGTCTGATATTATTTACAATTTCACACCATTACATTACAAATTAAACTCTATCCAAACAAACAATACTAAGTGAATTCTATCCTTTTTCATTATAAAGGTCACACATTTTGTCATTATTAACAGTGCATACATACACACATAATTACTTACAAGTCGCTTATAAATCACCTTGACCGAAATGAAATGACGTGACATTGATTTATTCAGACCTGTTTTTGATTGATAACCTAAAATTCTTTGATTGTTCCGTTGTACTATTTAAACTTGGATTAATGTTAATTTGGTTATTTATTCTCTGAAGAAGTGGCTTACACTGAGTCACGAAACATCAGAAAATCCAATTTTTCTACTCATTGGGATATTACAAATATATTATTTATTTATAACAATCTACCCAATGCTCAATTTATTCGAAATTATCAAATCAAAACTTGGTAATGATACCTCTTATTTACTTATGTATTAATGTGAAATATAACTTTGATTACCTGAAATACTCTATTTTTAAAATCGAGAAGGTTAATCAAAGGATTAATCTGACTTCATAAGCCTACTGAAGAATAAAATTATGGTGAATAAATAACTGATATAAATCAGAATTAGAATTGACGTACTTCTATGATGAAACGCTGGTAAAGAATTCGCAGTAAATAGAAAGCTCTGTCAGAGAGAAATCTTGAAGGATGATCAATAAAAACGAAGCACAAAGTGATCATGGCAATAAAATCACAAGCGAAATTCGGCCTTTGGGGAAAAGAAAGAGAATAATTACAAAAACGAGTGATAACGAAAAATAAGAACATAAAATAATGAATTGCGAACCAACTATAAATTGAGAATAAAAGTTGAAGGTATCTACAATCCAGAGGATATCTTAAATGTTTGGTAAGCTAGTGATCACGACTAACTCTGCCTGCAGCTCTTCTACAGTAATCGATGGTTCCAAACCTTCTGTTAGAACTGAGTAGTAATGCCAGGATGTTTGGGATGCGTTTCTCCCCATCCAAATGTAAATTGTTACTCCAGGACTGGCCTGCGTCGATACCTGAACTAAAGATAGGGAGTGAAGTAGTCCAACGCGTCGACAACTTCACCTATTTTGGAACTCTTATAAGCTCTAAAGGGTTGATATTTGACGAAATCTCAGCACGGATCCAAAAAGCTCGTTTGGCTTTTGACAACTTACGTCACTTATGGCGAAGACGAGATATCCGTCTATCAATTAAGGGACGAGTATACTGCGCAGCAGTTCGCTTTGTTCTACTTTACGGCTGTGAAACATGGCAATTAACAGTAGAAGATACTCGTAAGCTACTAGTATTTGACCACAGATGCCTTAGAATTATTGCTCTCATCTGCTGGGATCACCGGGTAAGTAATAGTGAGGTTAGACACAGGGTATTAGAGAATGATGATAAATCAGTTGATGAGGTCATGAATCTTCATCGACTGAGATGGTTAGGCCTGAACACCGATTACCACGACGCGCTATGCTGACTAGTGTAGGGGATGGTTGGAAGAGAGTTAGGGGCGGCCAAACCAAAACGTGGCATCAGTGCTTGAAGTCACTAACTTCTAGTCTGAGCCATGTTGGTAGATGCAGACTATTGGTTGGGGTCCGCGCGACTATAGTAAATAATGGTTGGAGACTTTAAGTGACATGGCTCAGAATCGATCACAATAGTGCAGGTGTATACACTCTTTATCTTCCCTTAAACCTTGAAATTAAAACTGCTTCATATCTGTCTTACTTCCTATACTATATCCTTATATACAACCTTTTTTATATAATACCATCACTAAATTAACTACTATGAATTCGGTGTTCATCTTATTGTGCTAATGAGTGAGGTATGGCAACTTGTACCGATGCATATATGTGCCTGGTTCTACGTTGTAACTGACTGACTGATTGAATAAAGGATGAGGGTTGAACATGGGGTCAGCAACCCCATCCTGTAGAAAAAACTTGCTAAAACAATGAATAAAAACTGGAAAAGATTGTCCAGAACAGAATTCGACGAATAATCCTGGTAGGCGACCTATGTTCCCCTACAAGGGGAAACACGCATCATTATATACGTAAGTGACCACGACTATTCATAGGAAACAAACTATACAAAGACACAGAACTGAGCTATCTACCCTATTGATATTTGATGAAAATACACTTTCATCCTAAAGAAAACATATTACGATTATTTATTTAAACACAAATATTGGTACAAGGAAACACCAAATACATATGTGCCATACAAATCACTTTCGATTTGCTTGAGGGCAGTGATACTGCTCAGGTGCCCAGACTGAAGCAGGTGGTTTTCTTAGGGGGCCACACCCGGAGCCTTTGACCGAAAGATCTGATCCACAAGGCAGTGGAGCACCGTGAGGAGATGCAGTCCCATGGTAGCCGGTGACCAACGGTTGATTCTTACGCTATTTGTTCCTTCAGGATACAGGAGCCCATGTGCACCATTGGTTTGTAATGAGGGTTTTCCAACTCCCCTAGGTGGATCCTCCACATCCATTAACTGTTAAGTCGGCTTACAGTAAACTCAATCAGAGCCTCCAGAGGCTCATAAAGAGTCCGACCAATCAGCGATTAGTTAGAAGCTATGCTACTAAAATAACGAGGTCCTGATTGGCTGTTTAACATACTGCTACTATGGAATCTCAAGGTCTTTTAATTACTATAAAACCCCTGTTTTTCTGTACATAAATGAACCTTGTAGTAAAGTACTTCTCTCATACTCGTGTCTTCTTACTGGTGTTCAAGTCGCAGAGTAGTGCTAGCCTGGGGTTATCAGAATAGCTTAGGATCTGAATATAGCGTTCAACCTATAAGATATAACATTAACTCAGTTAAAGCGCCGGACATTCGCTTTTCGTCCTCTCAATTTCGTGAACACCCTCGCCACAAGAAGGCAGCGAGTAGGACTTCCCTGGCAAAGGCTATAATATTACGATTAAATATTGACTAGTGAATCAGGCACATTATTCGACTACTGAGTATTATATAATAATCACTCCTGCAGTATATATATATATATATATATATATATATATATATATATATATCATGAATTAAATGGATAAAAAAGAATATTTACGTACATATTGCTCATTGTGAGACAAATGCATTCAAAACATGCTGTGGACAGTGATATGTTTGATGCAGTATAACACTGATCAATTACCCAGTTGAAAAGACATGTATTGTCAGAGTTGAAATCCAACATAAGGACTAAGGTTTCTTCACCTAGTTGTCGAAGTAGCTGAAACAAAATATGGAAAATAAAAGGTATTCAGTGCTAAAGCATCTGCCACCATTTAGTTTCCGATCAAGAAGATTACGTATTTGATAGACACAACATATCTTAATTAATTTCAACCTAACTATTTATCATAAGTTCCGATAATGTAATAAGAAGACGAAGATTATCAGAACTATGTGATATATTAGCGCAATACACTTCGAACAATCTGATCACACATATACTTGTTAAGAACATTTATATATAAAAATAAAAGGTCAACTAGACTGGTAATAAGGTTAAGAAATAGACAAGGATAATAATGATAAAATAATGTGAAAACAACTTGCAACTCGGTCGATAGCATTCGATCAGCACTAAGAAGGACCTGACATGCATGAGATTGATCACCACCCAGTGATCAATCAATTGTGATTACATCTGAGTCCTACAAGAGGTTGGTCGCGGCCCGAATAGCTCAGTGGTAACGTCTCTGACTGTGAAGCTGAGTGACGCGGGATCGAATCCGCCAGGGAGCATCAGTTCCCTCAGGATTAAAGGTACACTTTGCTGACGAGTGCCAAGTAGCACGAAACCCGGGTCCAGGGTTTCCTGTTGACCACCTCCAACCACCATCTTACCTCAGTATACATAGTGCGAGCAGTGTCGAGCCACCTATACTGGTGGCCACATTGCAACTCGATCGATAGCATTCGATCAGCACTAAGAAGGACCTGACATGCATCACCACCCAGTGATCAATCAATTGTGAAAACAACTCGACACCTAATCACCTAATCGAACCCAAGATTTCTTAATCAGGACTTGATCTTCAGCCAATGATTTGTGTTTTTATATCCAACCTATTCGTGATAATATGCAATTATTAACTGTCACTGGTGATACGCATCTTGCACTAAACAGGGATGAACTTCAATAGTTTCGACTTCTCACCAGACTTCAGAGATGAACTCTCAAAGTTAGTGACTGGTAAGAACACGATAATTTTTTAAGCATAAAGATCTTTGGAATAGGTTGAAAATAAACGTTTTGTAATAGAAACGTCCTAAAAATATATATAAAAGGAGTCCCTCATTTTCAGCCTATGTAAGAAAATCAATACGAAAAATCTGTTTGACAGTACCAAAGAATACAACATACAGAATCTAATCGGCGACCACCACCTGCTGCTATTGTGCGAGAGCGTGTATGACTGTTGCCACACAATGATGCGCCTCCAGGAGTTAAAGTACTATGCAAAAGACCGCGTCCTGTAATGGGACAAAACCATAGCCACGGACATGAACTGAGAGCAGTATCACGTGCAACAAGAAGACCAGAAATCCAACGAAGCACATATCCAGAACTAGGAGTGCGAACATTTGAACCTGAACCACTATTTAAACGTTCTGGACCAGGAAAAGATGATGCATCCGAACCCACGCCTAGGATTATCTGGTTTAATTTTCCACTGTCTTGCGGTAGCAAAGCAGAACGATCAAATATTGCCCCACAACATACCAAAGCTGCCATAGCTTGATTTGATAACCAAATTAAATCAATCCATAAACAATATTCCACAGATTCAATCCTATCAATTTGTTCGCCTTCACATGTTTTCTGTTGAATTGTAGGACTCTGGCTGGTTTGGCCTGATGAAACACTCATATTGGCATTGCATTCTATAGAACCAGAAGATGGAGCACTGTTAACACCCAGACTATTGAGAGATTGCAGGAAATTATCATTTGATAACTGGTGGTGAATCCCGAAAATTCCGTAAGGTATTTCATTTGATGGAGAAAAACCAACTATCCCATTTAGACTAGATGGTTGTCCGACTATATTTTCATTCGAATCTAAAGAATAAGATTCAGTAAGCACTGGGCCTTCAGACCCTAAGCTGAAAATAAGCAAACGTTTGGTGAACAAGTATGTATTAAACTGAAATCTGAACATCAAAATATTTATTCCAAAAACTGTTGGGACAAATATATGGTAATATAAAGAGAAAACGAAGTCTCTTAGAATCTGATTACACATTAACTTCTTAAAGCATTTATATACGAAAAATTAAGACGATACATAAATCCCTTAACAAGTAAACATGTGATTAAATTGTTCGAAATATTTAACGCTAATATATTACGTAGTTCTGGTAGACTCCTTTTATTATCCAGATTTACCAAAGGGACTAACTATTTTGAACACCCATAATAACATTAATATCATACTGATTTTAACGAAGTCTAATGAAATTCATCATAGAAAATGATGATTCAGACCTATGGCTATTGGAAGAACAACTGAATGATAATCGATGAAAGCGTAGTACAAGGCCAAACCAGTCAAAATCAAGAAACTTAGCTATGAGCTTTGGTGTACAATTAAAGATGTATGACATATCTTTCATCAGTTCATTGAATAATACATGCCGATAAGTGAGAAAGGTGTCTATCCATATATCTGTTTAACAATTATTTACAACCTGATCTAATAACTAACTGTAGATCCATGTACTATGTTGAGAGTGAAACATCTGCAATGGAAAATTTACAGATATTACGGAGTTGTCTAAATCAAAGAAGCTGGGTTTAAACTAACAATCCAATAGATAAAAATCAAGTGAATAAGCTCCATAGTTGCAGTTAGAACGAAGTTGTCAACAGTGAAGACTCACTACTGCATAAACATATTCGAAAGAAAATGAATTTCATGGATGCATAAATGGGAAACAGAAACAAACTTACTACGTCCCCATGATATGATCAAAATGGGCACTCCAGTGAGACAACAAAATGAATAATTGATGCCTTAATGTTGGAGGCAATAAAGCTGTGCGACTCTGTTCTACATAACAGAAAGAAGTAATGAGTAAAAATTTGGATTAAAAAAAACGAGTGATAAATACAATAGGAATAACTATGAATAATGAATATTTAAATATGATTACTATGATCATTTGAAGAGAACAGTTAAAAAAGATAACCTCATATTGGAAAAATAAAAACTTGACAATGATAAGGAATCCTAAACACTAAGATTAAACAAAGGGAATACGGTTCAAAAAGTCAGAAGGTATGGAGGAAGGAATACTGGGACTCAAAATATAGAATGAGATAAAGGGTAAATGTATCAACCTCAGTGAGACCTATTCTCAACCAAGTCTAAAACTAATGATCGCGGCTATTGAACGGACATTAACCAGACAGTTTTCATCCATCGATACGGTTCCGTTGAACAGACCAACTCCACATCTTAGTTTAGCGGCCACGGACATTCTTCCAACTTACTCCTATAGTAGGAAGCATCACCAGTTGACGTAGGTGATGGTTAATTATACGTTAAAAACGCCACAGTTACATCAGTCGATGAAGATTCATATATCCATGATGATTCCAAAAAGAATAGGAACTAACTCGTCACTGTTGATATAATTAATAAATAATAATATATTCTGAAAACAATAATAACAGAATTCACGCCAGTTTACAGGCATGATCAATTTGATATAAATAGTAACATATGAGGTAGAGAACAAACATGTGATATAAGATTGTTCTAAGTTTGCTAGTTTAGTAATTGTTTAGATAGTACATTTATGACATGTATTACAGCAATGAAATGCATCAGCAGGGAACTTTTAATTTTTTCTTAAGTGGATAGCCTGTTCATTTACGAAAGGTGTATTTAGGGTCATTTCCTGTGCCAGGATGAATTGTTGACAATTACCTACAACTTGAGAAAGTAAAATTAAAACAGAGCACGGAACAACAAAACACTGATTACCAAATTATGTCCGTCAGGTCTACGATAATGCATGTATCATGTGACTCAGTGATAAGGTTATTGTTCATGTTAGATATTATTCAAATAAGTTAAGGTTGCTAGGGTCAGTGTTAACGTAAAGTAACAACAAGCAGATGGGTTTTACCTGGTAAATTCAGTAATAAGAATGGCTAAACATTTAAAGTTCTTATAATCTCATTTGTGGAATAAGATACACTAATAGGTGCTAGGACATTTAATGCGCCACAAATGACGCAAGATGTCAAAAGCTAGACGAGCCTTCTGTATCCGTGCTGAGATTTCGTCACACACCAGACCACAAGGGCTGATGAGACTCTCAAGATAAGTGAAGCGGTCAACACGCTCAACTACTTCACTCCCTATCATTAGTTCAGGTGTCGATGAAACCCAATCCTGAAGTAACATTTCGCACTTCGAGGGGGAGAATCGCATCCCGAACATGCCTGCATAGTTGCTTATGGTGGTCAGAAGACTGCATTTTGTCAGTGTCTTCACCAAATAGAACTATATCATCGGCGTATTCTAAGTCAACAAGTGAGTCTCCCAGTAAAAGTTCAACTCCTGGAGATTTAGATGATGAAAGCGTTATCTTCAAAAGCATGTTAACGACAAAGTTAAACAAGAATGAGGAGAGTGGACAGCCCTGACGAACACCTCTTGAGGTAATCAATTCTGATGACAGTTGGCCATAGGCTCTAACCCGACCAGTTGTGTTCGAGTAGAGAACCTTTATGGGAATCGAATCTAAACAAGATAAAGCACGAGTATTTCTGGTGATTTTTAATAAGTCGATTACATTGGCATGGACTGTCTTGAAGGTTAGCTGCCTTTAATATCGAAATCCTTACAGATTTAATGGCGATATTGTCAGGTATGTTATAGATAATTACGTTATTTCGAGAGATTATTGGCTTAGTAACTTCGCTAGCGATAAAATCAATAACAAACTTTACTTTGATAATGTCTTCAAGTTCTGCACGAACAACATCCTTCGATAATAGCAGTTTAAAGGGTGATAGTTTCTTTGGTGTTTGCTTAAGATCATCATGCTTTGATAAAGAGCGCGCAAGTAACTCCACTTTAGAACGCATGCCGCTTAATTGCTTATAGATAGTGTCTAATTCGCCCTTAATATTATCGATACTTTTTATCTTGAGGTAGAACTCATTATTAAATTAGAGACTGAGTCATCGAGCAGCAGGTGTGGTGTAAGTCCAGCCCCAACATTACCTAAGTCAAAAGGAGTTGCAGAGAATGGGGTATAGGTAATAACAGGTGTTATTATCTGAAGAATTAAGACTTTTCCGGGCTCGTTATTTTGTCAGATATACACTAGGATTCAACGATATATAAACACTTTATAATAGACACCGTGTAATCGTAACGCGAGTTTCAAACGTACCGCAGTAATTGTTTGGAGGATAATGATTTCCCTTTATACACTTTATACCAAGCGAATCACACTTACCAATAAAAAACCAATATCTGAACATAAACAAAATATCACTTAGTGTACAAACGTTTCTGACCTTACTGATCTTTCAAAGTTTCGGCTTTCATTATCTTCAAAAAGAAGCCTGTAACATATGGTACAGAGAAACTTTGGAACAGCCTCATCACAATTGTTGATATGCCTTTAAAAATATAATTTTATATCAAATGTTTTCTGCATATTCGAAGTCAACTTTTTTATGAAAATATTCACCCATGTTTTGAGGGAAGTTCGTGTAAATATGCAATGCTAGGCTAGTGATTTCATATATCCAAAACACAGCCTAACATATATGTATAAATAAGATATATCAATAAAAGCTTTTTTACTTTATAAAACAACTGCTTACTTGGTAAACGTCGAATTAGCTCTTTAATAAAAATACAAAAATGCAAGCGAATTTCACCCAATAAATAAAATTCAGACGAATAACTAGTTAATGAAGGTCCAGTAGTTGTAGGAGTAGATAAAGAAGCAATTACAGAATTAGCGTTAATAGATCCACTCCCTTGATGATTGCTTGAAATACTTCCAACGGCAGTAACTTGTTGAGAAGTAGAACCAGACGGTATAGGAACTAACAGATTTAACGATGTACATAGCTGATGCGTATAATTGATTGGACTTAATAACTGGTCTGAAACTGATTCTAAATAACCTCTCATTCCATCCATGTAATCAAGAAGTTGACAAATTAAAGACCCTTGAGGTGTGACTATATTTGATTCACTACACAGAAGCAGAAAAACAATAAACTATCGAAAATAAAATAATCCATAAGCAGTTTTAAATCAATAGACTATCCGATTTAATGTCAAATATTCAACCAATCAGGCTTAGCACAGCATTTGGATATGAGATGAATCTATCCAAACAGTTCGTTCAAAAAGACGAAAGTGGTGAACCCACAGAACCACATCAATAAATATTCAAAAGACTGTTAGGAAAGCATAATATCTTGATTATAATTAATTTTGCGATAAAGTGAAAGATTCATCAAAAATGAATACTGTTTTCAATCTTTCGGAACTAATTCATCGAGTAATAAATCAATGATAATCAAGTGATAAGCTTCGATATGGAATTCGCAAAGTTTCAGGTGTAAAATGTTATCAGTAGAATGGATGGTTATCCAATATTACGAAGCAATCCCGTTAACTGTTTGTCGATCACAAAATTACAGTATCTAGTTTTGAATGTCGGATTAATGCGGTCGGATGAAATGTCAAAACGTGATGAAAATTACCATCATTATTATCATTACTGTTATCATTATTAGGCCATTAGTTCAACTAGTTCACTGGAAATTTACAAAATCGAAAATAAAATTACAATATAAGTTTACATAATGAATTACTCACGGATATGCAAATACACCAGTCTGTGCCATAAGAGAAAGAGTTTTGACTAAAGCAGATCGTAAACCATCACGTCGACGTCGACGGCGTAAATTCTCTTGTTTTCGATCGAAAGATTCTTTTAGCAATGGTTGCAAGTCTTCAAGGACATCTCTAAAGTCATTAAACCGAAAAACGTAAACGCATCGATGAATAAAGAAGTTAAATACATGGATTACTTGAATTAAGAAAGAAACCCAAATTAAGATGATTGATCTTTCATTCAACTGGCATCAATAGATTATTCAAAATACACAACACCACTAATTAATCCAAACAGCTTAAGACTATTGCCGAATTGCAAATTTGATGTAAAAATGTAGCAATTCTAATGATGAGACAATGGTAATTTTTAATCTCCACAATGAAATATATAAGTGAATGACACATAATTCAGAATAATTAGTCGATAAAGTCATTGGCAAACACAACATAGGAAATTAATAGAAATAATATAACTGTAATATCCCAATGAGTAGAAAAATTAACGTTTAAATTTTATGACGTCTCGTGACTCAGTGTAAGCTACTTTTTCAAAAGAAATGATAAGATAGATAAAAGATGGTTAAAGTTTTAGAACTGATGGTTAGTTAATACAATCCAATTGTTGAACAAGTCTGATCATAACAAGTTTTTATCTCTCCAAAACTTTCAGTTAGATCAGTTTGGTATATTGCTGGGTGTCGATTCCCTACTATTGTCTCTTCATAAACGAACTCACAGAATACACTAACAATGTTTTAAGGTTAACTTTGAACATTTCAAAACGCATTAAATCGATAATTACCTTTAATTCATTCCCATAGAATAATTTTACCGCATTAGGTAAGGGAAACTAAACTTTAGAGTTTAATCAGTAATAAACAAACAATTCAGTAGGTTCAGTAATTAGCATAATTCAGGGAGTAAGAATAGTAAACAAACTTACATTGTGCATCATTTAATAATGAATGATGTGAAAATTACCTGAAAGCAGCCGGATTTATCCGACCAAGACCACCAATAGCTGAATCTCTTATTTCCGGTTGTTCACATCTAAGCAAAGGTACTAACAACTTGACTAAATCTCTAGCGTTCACCTTTCCAAACGATGTTGAATACTTTAAATCTGGCGAATTAGACCAATTAATGCATGAAGAATTAGATACAACTGGACGATTAGACGATGAGTTAGCATTCAAATCAATCGTTTGATTTACCACTTCATCTGATTGAGTAGGAGATCGATTATTGTCACAACTGAAAGTAATAACATAGAGTTCAGAATACTTTAATAAAAAAAAACAAAGCAAGATCATTTACTGAGTAAAGTCAACTAAATATTACCTTATGGACGTGAAACATCCTGTGAAGATGGATAGTATGAGTAGGTTGCTAAGATTCAATCACAGATAGATACTTCCGAAATATTGTACACTTCTAGGTAGGTAATACTAAGGCTATCTGTATAGTATTAAATGGAGAATCCGATAGTTATGAGGCTATGAATATTCTTTAAAAGAAGAGTTTCCAAACATTGTCAGGGGGACTTTTTCGATGCTTCTTGAAAAAAGAATAGGCAGGATAAAGCTTAAAGCGAACGGGCTGATGATCGGAGCTGTGTCGGAAGGTAAATATTCCTCAGTTAGGATCCATGAGATAATGGTAGTTTATCGGTAAAGAATTTGACAACCGAGGCAAGAAGCGACTGAAGTCGAACAGATACATTCATGGTTTTCCTACCAAACCTTGAGCTCATTATTATTCTATATGTTTAACCCCCACACTTTATTGTTTTAGTACAATATTTCCTATGCTCAGTTTGTTACCATACGTTCATTTTATATATCATTAGTTCCTTTTCACTATGATGATATGCAATGTGCAAAGCCATATATGTGCACCAGGACCTAAGTCCTTTATGACTAGTTGAATGACTCTAATTCAAATGTGAATATTATCGCATATGAAAATTACGAGATATTTAGTTTAGATTCAGTTCAAGTCCGTGGTAAAGTTTACGGCTATCTATCAAATAGAAAGACATATATTAGGAATAATAGTTTATCAATAGACAAAAATACTCCATTTTTTTAAGAAGAGACACAACGCACGAGTTAATAACTATAGCTGTAATATTTAAATCAATTAAAAATAACTGTTGCCGATATTATGGCAAATCACTCAAAAAGACACTAAATTCAATATGTTACGATTAGATTAACGCCCGCAGACAAAACTAAACATTTAAGCTACAAAAATACTTGATTTTAAGCAATATTTTCCAAAGAAAAAAACTGTATAAGCGAGTCATGATAGTTAACTTGGTACTGGTTTTGAAGAAACTATCGATCTGATGTACGGAATTTTCCTGTTTCGAATAACTAAAAGATTGATGCGAATGTTTGCAGACAAAACTTGCTGCATAGCTAAAAAAAATGGAAGTGGGAGAAGTAAGAATAGAAGAAAAAATGAACGACACGTGTGGTAGTTAAGTGAAACACATGAAAGTATGTGATGATAATGACAATGATGGGTCAATTGAGACAAACTACCTTTTAAGAGCTTTACCAAAATCAGAGTCAGATAAAGATACTTTAGTACTTAAGTGAATTCAGTTATTACCAAAAAGTACCAATGTAATGTAGGACAACGAAACAAAATAAGTTGTTGCATTATTAAATTGACAAATTATTTACAATAAGTTGATGTAGAAACATTTTAACGAATAGTCTTTGAATACCTAAAGTCGGCAAGTCTGGATGACGTTTATTTTCAACTTAACAAAGCACCCATAAGATTTATTGACAAGTGTTACGTCCTTGATCTGTCTACCCACTTTCGTGCCGAGGATAACTTGTCTAATGTAGATTAAGACCTTGACTCAATAGGCTGACTGGTTTAACGTTGAGGCTAGTATGCGTGAGTTCGAAGTGGGATAGAGAGAAGAAAACTATTCTATCATCTGATTGGCTGACAGGCACGCGCACGAGAGAGAAGACAAGACAACTGGAACACTACTAGCTTTATCCCAAATTCCGATCTGGTACCCGATTTCAGATAAGCATAATAGGACACATGAATAAATAGATGACTGACCCGACCACAACGTACAATAATTAGAAAAAAACAATTATGTCCAAAACTGGGGGGATTAGAGTAGAAAATAGAGTACAAAAGGTTACATCTAAATTACAATAGCTTTGGAACAGAAAAGGTTATAGCAGTGAATCAAACGAAAGTTTATGATCTGTAGAATAGACTAGGGACAAAAGTAAATGTTACAGTTTTACGAGCTTTGAATTAAATGAAATAACGTCCCCAAAATAGCTTCTGTAGTTTGTAAAGGCTTCTTGTTTCGCTGTTCACATCAACAAGTAATACCAATATATTGGAAAGAAGAAACATTGACTTACTCATTAGAATCTCCTTTTGTTGGAAAGTCAGGCGAATGTTTTTGTAGGTGAAACCCAGGCTGATAGCGCTTGTCTGGAGATTTTGAAATCCGTAAACCAGTAGAGCTCGGAGCTATACAACATCCAACAACGACATAATTATGCCAAAGAGGAATGAACTGCTCACGTTCATTCGCAGGTTTCTTACTTCCAGTTCGGAGTAACGAGGATGCTCGATTTTCAGCCATTTGTGCGCTAAAATATATATGAACAATTACCGTCTATATGAGAAATGATATTTAAAATTAAAAAATAAAAACGGCATTAGTACCTATAAGGATAGAATTTTTCATGACAGTTTCTTAAAATAATGGGTTCACAACACAACAATCGTTTATGTAAACTTGAAGAAAAAGAAAGCTGTTCGAATATTTTTGGACTAGGATACAAGTGAAATATAAAAAGTGGGCTTTCAGTAAATATATCTGTAGGATATATACCAAGTGAAGTATAAAAAAGTGACAAAGTCTTTATAAAGCGTAAGCACACAGAGAAAAACTCCGGAAAAGAATAACTATAAAAATAGCACCATGTCGTATAGTACTAGGGTAGTGTTTTTGGGTAGCAAATAACTGTCGATGAGTAACGTTACATCGGAAACAACTTTATTTCTCTCTCTATAAAGATAAACTTTAACAAAAACAGAAAATACCCTGAATCAAATGACTAGCTTTGATTTAATGGAAATGAAAAAAGTAAGTAAAAAGACTTGCCTTGGGTCAATTAAAGGAAAAATAGTATTTATTCGTTGAAATAATATTGACCAAGCAGATTTGATGGCCATGGGACAACTTGTAGGCAAATTAGATGAGTTGAATACAATAGAAAGACAAGTAGCCCATACATCTGTGACAGCCACACGTTCTTGTATTGGCTGCATAATATAAGCCTGTTGAGTATGCTGAATTTGTTGATTATACTGAGATGCTCTTCGATGAACAGGTGTTGTAGATAAATACGACTTAGAAGTTTGTATATTACGAAAATCAAAAGATTTCGAAGGTATGAGTAGTCCGGAAACTTGCGGTCTGACTAAAGTAGTCAAATAAGGTGAAACAAAATCCGAGTATATAATTAAAATTATTGGTCTCAAACAAATCAAACTGGGAAAATTTATCACAAAATTTTCAATAATCACAAAAGTTTGCAAAAGAATACTAATGTTATCTGAAAAGTATTATCTAAAATTATCATGTACATCTTTAAGAGTGCAACCGTAGTTGAATCGTAAACATTTTACCATTAAATTTCCACTCAAAATGAGAAAAATAATACACCGATTTTCCGGAGATAACTGACAGCTAAAACAACTGAATTTACAGGGTTTTACATTTACCTCGATCACATTTTTATGACTTATTTAGTTTAATCAGTTCTAAGCACATAACATAATTTAGTTAGAATGAATTTTTGAAAGTGGAGACATTTTTTTATGAAAATTGGAGAAAAAACAAAACATTCTGTTTCCTTTAGGATTCTACGTCATTACAAGCAACTGTGTTATATGACCCCGACTGAATGCAGAAAATTTAATAGGATAGGTTACTTGAAGTCTATTTAATTCATGAAGTTTATAGTGAGAATATTTTGCACATCTTGAAAACAAGATGAAGTAAGATTTGTTCAATGTTGAGAAATGTTTTTCTATAACCGCTTATTTCTTATGTAACTGAAATCCTCACTATCAAATAAACTTCAAGCTTCATGGATTATCATACTGAATAACAATTTCAAATGATGAAAGTGAATGTCCTGATGCCTTATTTCTTATAAAACATTCAGTCAGTAAACACGACGTTTACAAATCGAAGTCACAAAATACTTTATTATATATACAAAACAGAATAAAACACACCCAAAAAGATTATGATTCAGAAGACAAATTCATCTGGTATCAAACTGGTCAAAACAATGTGCATTCAACGGAAAGATTTTTTAGCCTGAATGAAAATTTGCTGTTGAAATATGTAAAGAGATGGATTAGTTTTTGGTTCACCACTTAACTGCCATGTAATGAAAAACGATTTCCACCATGTGCCGAAAAAATCTGATAAGAAATGATCTCAAAAGAAGGAGGAATAACCTTAGTTTGGTCAAACAACCGATATAAGGTAGAAAATCAAGCACCTTTATGCTAATCGGTAAACTATATTAATTGTTAGTTACATTCACTAGCAAACACCCGTTAGAGGTTATCATAATTAAATATAATTTCAAAATGGAAAATTACGTGATGAACTAATTAAACAGCCAGAAAAAATGTCAGGCTTCTCTGACAAATCACAATAAAATTTAGAACAATAGGGAAACAAGGATACCATCGTTTTATGATAAAGCCCTGGGGTTGCAAAGCGAGCGGATTGACAGATGATCTGTCAGAATCACTCTGAAGTATATAACCCTATTGAAATTTTAAAAATTCTCATCATGGAAATTAGAAAGACGTATCGATATTGTTTTCAGTGAGATCCTCCATCGAGCTTTATACTAATATACAGTAATATTTATATGCATATATTAAAAAGTATAAAACTAATCAAGTTAGTCAGTGTGTCAACGAAAGAGTACATCTGCTCGCGTGTCCCCAAAAAGGCCAGATGAAAACAATACTTACCTTCATTTTATCAAATTTTGCTGACAGTGGTCATGTGACAGGTAAAACTAAAACATTCCGGGTGACTTACCGAATACCTTTGTCGTCTTCAACTACGCTCGGCCTCGTCTCCTACACATCCCAGAAAGCTATGGAGGTTCGAGCACACAACACTAATCTATATATTTAGGGAAGATTGGTAACACTATTGTACCTTTTTTGACTGGGTCAGGCTTAAAAAACAATTCTATTAAGAATTATCATTATTATTTTCCATATTCTTTGTTCATTCGTTTTTCCTCACCCTTTTTTGCACATATTCTTCACTACCTAATCATTTGAACACCTCTTATCACGCAATTTTAAACATTTCCAACGATGATTATTCTTATGTCTATAATGTTCAACATTTCGTCCAACTTCCTAGTTTGAAACATTTACCCACGCCTTTGTTATTCTTATTGATCTCAGTACACCTGTGATCACAGCATCAATCTGTACTTTTTACTTATTGTGTTTAGTTATGCAGTTTTCTTTATTGCCTGCCTTGATTGGTTTGATAATTTTAATATATGCATATAAATATTACTGCATATTAGTATAAGTTTTGACCTAACTGAAAACAATATTGTTCAGTTACATATGTTGTTTTAATTTTCGTAATCATTTTTCGAATAAAATAGTTAGAATAAAAAAGCTATTTTAAAAGGGTTATTTTCATGTAAATGTAAATATGATGTCAAGGTATTTAGATTAATTATTTGAAAGTGAGGTTTGATTTAGAGATAAGATTTTGAAATTCGGTTGATTGAGTACAAATTTGATAATCTTAAGATTTTTTGTTTCAAAGAGTAAATAAGTTTATACCAGAAATCCACATTTCGTTCAAAAATTTAATCCTAAGTGCTGATTGATCCAAAATAGAATTGTAAACCTCATGGATAAACCAGATAAATAAATATAGGTTTTCAACACTTTAGTGTTTCATGTGATCTGTGATAGTGTCAGTAAGCCCCGAAACAATCGTTAGAACCCATTTCTGTTCAGGTAGTATATACTGACATTTAATCGAACGATAGATAATCATGAGATTTTAGTTACTACTAAGAAAGGATTTAATAAAATGCTGGTTTGTAGTTGATAAATGTAGTATACAAATATATTCTGAAAGTTCAGTAGTATTACCAAGCCAATGGGTAACAAGATATTTAGACTAAAATTTGCGATTCGAAGACGGTTTGCTAAGTAGAACCTCGTTAATTTCCAAGCCTCCGTGATGTAAATTAGAAAACAGAGCTAGGTATAACCTGTAAGTCTTCGGTAACTATTTCTTGCAAAACCAATGCACAAACTATACTATAGTCACCAACAATTATATTCCACATTAAAGTCGAAAGTTACTTTACACTTCATACGTATTTCTGAAGAACGGTGGTGGGAAATGTACTAAAATAAATATTATCTGGCTTTCAGATACTCGAACTAATCCGTTTCGTTAGCTTTCAAGTTACTTTGCACCGTACACCATTTCTATTTTCAAGTGTGAATATCGGATGCACATTAAATAGGTATTCACAATAGTATTTTTCACATAAACTATTGCTATTTCCTACGGGAAAATACGACTGTATATAAAACGGAATTCAAAACAATTTCGCGTAGATATTCTAAAGATGCATTGTAAAACAACTGGTTGGAATTATCTTCCTTTAAAGAAAAGTAAAATAGAGTCTCATACTATAACTGGCTGGTAATAACGATGTTAGCATACTCCCACGACGAATGGACCATGACACTCAGATGCTATATGAACACATATCACTTAATATAACATGAAGTCTAGATAATAACAAACTCATTAAAAAGCCGCATATCGACATAATTTATAATGCACACATAGCACTAATTATAAAGACAACTAAAACACATAAATTACCTGGATTTCTATGTACCTCTTTTTTTATACAGATACAAAAAGCAATGAGCGACAATCCATCAACTATGTACATGTATATGTAAGAATTTCTGAAAACTATCTTTTATATGATAGACAAACAATTCACTCAGTAAACCAGAGTTCTTTTTAAAATACATATTTTTGATATGGATCTGAATACTGAAAATTTTTCAACACTAGTATCAAAAAAGCATACAACTGGTTCTACACCGAAATATACGTCTAACAATAACAATGAAACCAATATCAACCAAGTGATGGTCTGTTAGATAACATTACAAATTCAAAAGTATTGCTTCATAATAAGTTCACTGAAAATAAATCCCTTCATTGAATTTTGTATTTTGAATCCAAAAAGAAGACAGTGATTGAAAGATGCGTTCAAGTGATTAATACTTAGAGATCTTAATGAATTGAAATATGCAATTATAGAATCAATAAACTGCATGATATAAGAGAATTGACAAATTTAAAGACAAGAAGTCGAAAATTAATAACAGTAACGTAAGCTTAAAAAGCGTTACCATTATCCAACAACAGGAGGCCGGTGTGCCACCTGGCGTCCTCCCTCTGCATCCCAAGCCTGGACTCAGATTGATCACATCGCGATCAGCTACCGCTGGCGTGGTTGTGTACAAGACTGCCGCTCCTTTTGGAGTACCTATCTGGAGTCTGATCATGCCCTGGTCTGCGCCAATCTCACCTTACTTTTCAGTGGCCGAAGGATTGACCACCACCAACGGATTAATGTTAGTAAACTGGCTGCAACTTCTGTTGCAAGTAAGTATCGAGCGGAGCTAGCCTCTAGGTTAGCTACCACCCCACCGAAAAGTATAGATGAGCATTGGTTGCTTCTTCACGACGCCATGAAAATGGCGAGTAAAGCCGCTTGCGGCTTCGCGAAACGTCCCGCTTACAAGCACTGGGTTTCTTCTGGCTCCTTACAACTGATGGAAGCCCGTCGGTCTACTCCGGGTGACCGTGAGTTTGACCACAAACGAAGGCTGTTACGTAATGAAATCGGGCAAAGCTTGCGTAAGGACCAAGAAGCCTGGTGGTCGGAGCGTGCTAATGAGATGGAAGCAGCAGCTGCATCTGGTAACTGCCGGAAGCTCTTCCAACTCATCCGAGCCACTGGCAGCAAGAAGTCTGGTGTGAGTGAAATAATCTACGAGGATGACGGGATGCCGATCACTAATATCTCTCGACGTCTTGGACGATGGGCGGAATTCTTCGAAGGGCAGTTCAACTGGCCTGCTGCTCCGGCAACATCAACCAGCTTGTCCTGCTCCCCATGGCCGGTGACGACTGATCCACCAAACGAGGAGGAAGTCCGCAAGGAACTCCAACTCTTGAAACGTTACAAATCACCTGGCCCAGATGACTTACCTCCGGCTCTTTTTAAAGATGGTGGTGACCTTCTGACTAAGGAACTGACTGCGTTGTTTGGAAAGGTTTGGGAGCAAGAAAGTGTTCCAACATCTTGGAATGAGTCAATAGTCGTCCCTATCTTCAAAAAGGGTTCACGTTGTTCCTGCAATAACTATCGGGGGATAAGTCTACTTTCGATCGCGTCCAAACTATTGGCTTCTATCATTCTTCGTAGGTTGTTTAAAACCCGGGGAAGATTGACTCGCGAGGAGCAGGCTGGTTTTCGTTCTGGTCGAGGATGCATTGATCACATCTTCACCCTCCGCCAAATGTTAGAACACCGTCATACTTATCGCAGGCCAACAATCGTAGTGTTTCTTGATATCAGGGCGGCCTTCGATTCGTTGGACAGGACTGTTCTCTGGGATTGTCTATTGAAGAAGGGTGTGCCTGAGAAGTTCATTAACATCTTAAAGGCCCTGTATACGAACACCTCAGGCAGAGTGAGGGCATACAACCACCTTTCTCCCTTGTTCCATTCGAGCAGTGGGGTTAGGCAGGGTTGCCCGATCTCACCATTCCTCTTCAACTATGCCATCGACGACATCCTAGAAACAGCTCTGATGGATGTAAGTAATGGCGGTGTGGATATGTTGCCTGGAGAACGACTTCTCGATCTTGAGTATGCGGATGATATTGTCTTACTGTGCGATAATGCCCAAGGCATGCAATCAGCACTTAATCAGTTGGCAATCAGTGTCCGCAGGTACGGCATGTGCTTCGCACCCTCCGAGTGCAAAGTACTCCTACAAGACTGGCAGGATTCTCATCCTGTACTCACCCTGGATGGTGAGCAGATTGAAGTAGTTGAGAAGTTCGTGTATCTAGGTAGCTATATAAGTGCTGGTGGTGGCGTGAGTGATGAGATTGATGCACGTATAATGAAAGACAGAGCGGCTTATGCCAATCTGGGCCATCTTTGGCGCCTTCGTGATGTTAGTCTGGCTGTAAAAGGTCGGATCTACAACGCGTCGGTGAGAGCAGTTTTGCTCTATGCTTGTGAAACCTGGCCTCTCCGAGTTGAGGATGTTAGACGTCTCTCTGTGTTCGATCATCGTTGTCTCCGAAGGATTGCTGACATCCAGTGGCAACACCATGTTAGTAATGCAGAGGTTCGGCATCGTGTGTTCGGGCGCAGAGACGATAATTCAATTGGTGTCACCATCTTGAAACACCGACTTCGGTGGCTCGGACATGTTTTACGAATGTCGTCCCAGAGACTTCCGCGTCGTGCATTATTTGCCGACCCTGGGACTGGTTGGAGAAAGCGGAGAGGAGGTCAGTGTATGACATGGTGTCGTGGCATGAAAGAAAGCTGCAAAGGGCTAGCTTTTGTTGGTCCTTCACGACTCCCTGGTTGGGGTCCGAGAGATAGTGCAACACAGTGGCTAGAGACGTTATCGGATATGGCTCAGAATAGAAGCCAGTGGCGATCCTGCTGCAACCTTCTTTTACTTTCTACATAAAGAATGGTTCTAACTTTCCTAACTGAAAGAATCTTCTGGTTGTACATTTCAGCCCGCCTTATCTTTTCATCCTTTATCTACCTACTTTCATTATTTTGTGTGGCGCATATGTACCTGGTGCCCTTTTGTACCAATATATATGTGTTTAAATAAATAAAATAAATAATAACAACAGGAAGCAAACAGAAATTATTTTTGCGAGAGATATTGGGAAACGGAAAAGTAATAATTTATTATTAATACACTATAATGTTAGCTATTTCGATAGCCAAATTCAACAAATTTCTTATTAACATATGAGTCGGGTTTGTTAAAGTGGATGCCGATTACTCCAGGTATATTTAAAAGAAGGCCCTTGAAGGACTTGAAGGCACTTATTTATGTCTACTTGATACCACGTATCAATTAGATGAGCAAATATAAGAATTTTTAATGGACCTTAACATTCCCTTTCTTGGCTGAGGAAATTGATATTTAAAAATATAATGACCATGTGAGGCCGATGTACCCTTTTTCAACGTTTTAGAATCAGCAGCGTTATAACTAATGTTGACAAATCCAACAACAGTAAAACTTAAACCCTACGCACAATAAATCATTCATCACGTAAGAAAACAGTAAAAAGAGCTATGTAATGCTGGAAAAAATATGAATGAAGTTGTGAGATTATGTACGAAGAAAAGTATAGAAACCTGTGCACTAATTTTAGTTCAAGATGAAAATAAACAAGAAACAAGACTACGAAAAAGTAAATATAGGAAAGAAGTACAAATACTATTCAATATTTTACAAACTTTCACTCATCTCTATAGTTTACGTTTACTGTGATGTCAAGCATAACAACTCATATATGAAGTATTAACCACAATTCATAGCAGATAAAATCATAACAACAAGACGAAAAGTGAGAACGGCTTATATGTCAAGTATTTCAGTTTGTACGTTACACAGCTTCAAGTTAGCTGTTAGACATTCTCAAGAAATTAGTGGACACGACACTACCATTGTTATAAATTTCGCTTCCTTTTCACTTTACAGTGAAGGTTAGGATTGCAATCCACGAGTATCAAAACCGAAAAAATGACTAACCTTCAGTTAATCCAGTTAATAAACGAGGTAGATGAAGATTGGGACAAATTCGACATCCTGATGCAACAAAATTGTTGCAAGAATGAAATATCTATTAGTGATACTAGATTACTAGTGGTAGAGTAGTTATCACAAAACGAACACAACAACAATTTTGATAGTGTAATAAGAAGACGAAGATTATCTTCTTATTACACTATCGAAATTTATCAAAGGGATTAATTGCTTTAAACAACAATTTACAAAAGCAGAATACCATTCAATAGTTTGCACTCTAAAAAAAGTTTTAAAAACATTGATAAAACATATAGACAACCTTCTAATTAATTACAAATACAAATTATTTATCTAAACACATTAGATATACCACAAAAATGCCGTTTTCTTCACAAATCAGCCCCGACATTATGAAATGTACTACTGTTTGTTCAGAAGCTGATTCAAAGGCAATAAATAGTTTCGCATACATGATAATATTGAAAGTCATTCATGGATTCATTTAGTTTTAAGTAGTAATACGACATGAGTATCAACTTGATTATCTTCTGATAATAACAATCTATTGTTAGATTTTCCTGAAGAGAAAATATGCACCAATACAACAAACTCAGAAGATTGTACACAAAATAATAAATATTTACTTGTTATGGATACATTGAAAGTCAGCTGATAATCAACTTATGTTTACAGTGAAGTAAATCAGTAGACACAAACAAACTTTTATTCAAAATAATAATCAGTGCTTACCGATTTTTGTAAATGATTCCTGTACAACAGGTTCATCGGGTTTAGATTTCTCAATTGTGTTACCGGTAACTGGATTCTTTACAGTTGGACTATTATTAGTATTACAATTGTTGTTATTATTATTAGAATTGTTTAATTTGTTAAGATCGTGAAGATTTGATAAACCATTAAATCGGACTTCTTCACTTTGCTGAACGTCATTGTTAGACATTAAACCAGAGTACTGAGTGTTATTCAAATAATTAGCTGGTAAAACCACTGGTGAATATACAGGCGGTGTACTACCACTAAACCAAACAGGATGAGAACGCTCCGTAAAGACAGAAAAATCCATGTTAGACACTGAAGACAAAGCAGACTGAAATTTATAAAAAGAAACAAGAAATTAGCAAAACCAGTGTTATATATAAATAAGCTATCCAATAGTAGGATACAAGTCATTACAATGTAAGTAGATCAAACCAGTTGTCCAATAATGTAAATTCTATTTTCCAATAGTTAATCAGGCAAATATACTGACCATTAAGTGTTCCTTTAATGGATCTGAGAAATATAGCTTACTAAATACTTATCAGATATCCTTATACGTTATTTTTAAGTATACCGTGAACTCAATGTCAATGCTAGTCTAGTAATTAACACAGACCAAATGAGTTTTCGCAGTTGTTTTCTTGTTTGGAAAATTCAGACCTAGACTGCAAGTAATCCCAACTACAGCTGATACACTTGCAACAATTTATTAATTCTCTGACACACCCAAAATACTATATTATATCTGCAGGGGAATAAGATTCTATCCTGATACTAGCAGAAAGTTCTTCGACAGCGAAAAACTATACAAGTAAATTTTGGATATACAAAAATAATTACAAGTAGACAACTGACAACCAATTAAAGAGTATGTGAAACTTTTCTATAGCAGAATAGTTCACTTTTAAGATATTAACGAATAGAATATTATCTTACTCTTTCACTTAAAGGTAATATAGGCAAAACATGTTTCAAAATAATTGGCACTGAACGGTCTAAAATATCTATACAACACAATTCACGTGAATCATTTGGATTTTTTAACGTTTGATCATAAGTAGCGGATTGGATTAAATTTGATAAAGCTCGACATTTCCTGAGAATATGAACAGATAAACGTCTAGTGATTAAACGACAACTGCACAACATGACCAAAGCAAATCCTTCAGCTTCATATAAAGCTGATTTTTCAGACATATTAGGCGTTACGGCCCCATCCTAAAATGTAAAAATAAAATAAAATTCAGTGGCTATAGATAATTTCAGAAATTTTAATGGTAACTATGGATGATTTACGTTCCTTAGTAGTTAAAGTCACGAATAATAAAAGAGTAAGCCATCAAACAGAAGTAATTGAGTAGAAAGTCTCCGAAACAGAATAATGAATAAAAAAATTCAAGCTCAGTTGCTTTATGATGAAAACTGAAAAATCGATTTGGACAATCGTTTTATGTAATTTAAAATACAGAGAGATTATAGTTATTTTTCAGCCAAGAAAACTATTAAGTAAGGAGATTAAGGCCAGCTTATGATGGAAATTACATCGAAATTATAAAACGTCTGAATAAAAACGCATTAACCAATAATAATAATAATAATAATAATAATAATAATAATAATAATAATGTGATTAGTAGTGACAAGCCCAGAGAAAGGGTCTCGGATGTAAAGTCAACCGTTTCTGTTTATGGCAATACTGAAAATATTAGTAGGTCAATACACACCATGATACAACTTACTTTTTGCAATGCTAACTTCCAATTATTTAATAGATGAAATAAAGTCTTCAAACAGCTATCTAGTTGGTGAGGTGATGTATCAGCTACATTTTTCTGAATAAATTGTATAAAAACTGAAAATTACCAAGAAAAAAGTGAAAAATTATACATGTGAATTAACGACAAATAGGTAGAAATCGGATTTAGTAGGTGCTACACTATGTATGTCAATTTAAATTATAGATTAGATGAAACCATAGATGAGCACTGACTACAATTACTTGAAGCCATGAAAATGGCATGTAAAGTCGTTTGCCGCTTCGCGAAACGTCCCGGTTACAAGAGCTGAGTTTCTACAGGCTCCTTACAACTTATTTAAGTACATCGGTCTACTCCGAGTGACCGAGAGTTTGACTATAAATGGAAATTGTTACGTAATGAAATAGTGCAAATTTGCGTAAGGATCGAAAGTCTAATGATCGGAGCGTGAGAACGAGTTGGAAAAAGCAGCAGCTTCTGGTAACTACAGAAAGCCCTATCAGCCCATCTGAGTCACTGGTAGCAAGAAGTTTGGTGTGGATGAAACAGTCTGTGAAGCTGACAGGATGTCAGTCTGTTATAACTTGTGGCTGCGATGCTCTGTTAATGTAGAACGTGATAATACCGCTAATTAGAGAGCAGCGATTTGTCGACCGGACCAATGACACACTAAACCCGTACGAGCAGCCTAGAGTACTTGTCGGCCCTGCTTTCTACCTAGCCCAGCCGGTTAATTCCAGAACACCAATAAGAGCCTCTGCGGTATGAATCATTTATTTCAAGCATACTGGGTTTATATACCAAACAAACTGACCACATCGTACCATAAATAGGAAAACAACATTGGTACAAGATTTAGCCAAATGTGGCTGTAGGTAAGAGAGATGGTAAATGATAGACAGGGCATAACTCAAGAATGGTAAATCGTATAACAATAGTTCATAAGTCAAAATAAAACTCATAATAAAGGGGACATGAATATGAATAGTTTAGTTATTTACCAATTATACGATAAAAAATATATGCATAGTATCGGTCCATAAATGGATCCAAAAGTTACCATTCATTATTCTTATTGGGACACAACACAATTAATAACATCTACCGATGTCCTGGACGATGAGCAAAGCTTTTCAAGGAACAATTCAGCCGACTTGCTGCTCCAGAAACATCGATCAGACTACTCTATCCTTCCTGGTTAGTGTCAACTCATCGCTCTAACGTGCGCAAGGAACTCAAACTCTTAAGGTGTCACAAATCATCAAACTCAAATGATATGTCTCCGACCCTTTTAACGATGGTGAAGATCTGGTCATGAAACGAGCTGGGTTTTTGTAAAGCCTTAGCAATAAGTGTTCCAACATCCTATAATGAAATGATAGTTTTTGCTATCTTTAAAAAGGGTCTGGTTCCGATTGCGTCCAAATTATTGGCTACCGTCATACTTCGCAGATTGTTTAAAACCCGGGGAAGATTGACTCGCGAGGAGCAGGCTGGTTTTCGTTCTGGTCGAGGATGTATTGATGCTGCCATCACCCTCTGCCAAATATTAAAACATTGTCATACTTATTGCAGACCAACCATCATTGTGTTTCTAGATATCAGAGCCACCTTCGATTTCATGGACAGGACAGTTCTCTGGGATTGTCTATTGAAGAAGGGTGTGCCTGAGAAGTTCATTAACATCTTAAAGGCCCTGTATACGAACACCTCAGGCAGAGTGAGGGCATACAACCACCTTTCTCCCTTGTTCCATTCGAGCAGTGGGGTTAGGCAGGGTTGCCCGATCTCACCATTCCTCTTCAACTATGCCATCGACGACATCCTAGAAACAGCTCTGATGGATGTAAGTTATGATGGTATGGATCTGTTACCAGGAGAAAGACTTTTTGATCTTGAGTATATGCATGATATCATCTTAATGTGAGATGATATCCAAGCCATACAATCCGCACTTAGTCAGTTTCCTTAGAAAATGCATGTGATTTGCACCTTCTAAGTGCACAGTACTTTCACAAGATTGGCAGGACCCCGGACCTGTACTCACTCTGGGTAGTGAGCGGATAGAAGTAGTCGAGCAGTTCGTGTATCCGGATTGCTACGTAAGTGCTGGCGATGGCGTGATTAATGAGATCAATTCACGTATTGTGAAAGTCAGAGTGAGTTATGCTAATCTGGACCATCCTTGACGCCTTCGTGATGTCATTCAGGCTGTAAAAGGTTGGAGCTACAACGCGTCGGTGAGAGCAGTTCTGTCCTATCTTTGCAACACCTGGCCTCTCTCATTTGAGAATGTGAGACGATTCTTTGTGTTTGGTTATCATTGTCTCCGAGGGATTGCCGACATCCAGTGGCAATGCCATGTTGGTAATGCAGAGGTTTGGTATCGTGTGTTTGGGCACTGTGACGGCAATTCAGTTGGTGTCACCGTCTTGAAACACCGGCTTCGGTGGCTTGGGCACGTTTTACGAATGTCGTCGCAGAGAATTCCACATCGTGCATTATTTAGCGACGCTATGATCGGTAGGAAAAAGCGGAGAGGTGGTCAGTGTATGACATGGTGTCGTTGTATGAAAGAAATCTGTACATGACTGGCTTCTGTTGGTCCTTCACGACTCCCTGGTTGGGGTCTTAGAGATAGTGCAAAACAGTGGCTTGAGACGTTGTCAGACATGGCTCAGAATAGAAATCAATGGCGATCTTGCTGTAACTTTATTTTACCTTCTTTATAAAAGTGAGAGTGAATTCTTTAGCTGAAAGAATTCTTTCTGGTTGCATTTTTCCTAACTGGACTGTTTCTCCGATTATTAATATTAATACTGATATTATTATTATTATTTCACTCTCATATGCCAAGTTCTATTCACTGTTGTTCTTCTTTTTTGTTATACTCACCCTCCATTCTCTATCTCTTCATAATCTCATTATTATTGTGAGGTGCTTATGTATTTGGTGCCCCCTTGTACCAATGTTTATATTGCTCAAATAAATAATATATATATACTTCAACACGATCATGTCCTTTGATTTCTCAAATTTCAAATTAGTATGAATGAACGAAATGACGTTTGTTTATCACTATTCATAAGCAAAACAGTTTTCATTAACAGATAAAACATGAAAGCACTCTAGATGAGTATACTGTAAGAGCTCGATTATCAAGTTGATCAAATAAAAACCAAGCTTATAGGAGTAAAGTAATCAAAACCGAAAGAAACCCACTCCAATTATTATCTAGCCATTCAACTTACAGCGAAACACCGTCCATCTAAGTTTTATTAGTATTCATAATCCTGGCTTCGCTACTTGTATGGAGAAGGTTTTAGGGATGTTAAGGAGACGGAAGCCCACTGTGTTTGGGAAATTTATACTTACTTTGTAGATGATGTTTGATCTCTGCATTAGCTGCAAATATGTAGGTGATAATATAATCTTATTGGTTGTGAATTTATAAAATGATCAATATTTTATTGTATATACAGCCATTGATCCCAGTTGAAAACAACACTTATTCGTAAAGGTAATAGAAATAGAGTATGTAATAGAATTCAGAAAATGATATGGGCAAGATATTCGTTGGAATTGCAATTTCGTTCACAAAAGTTAATTAAGCGATATTGGTGGGAGTAATTAACTAAAATATTTACCAACCTTGTATTGTTTTAACCCGATAAGCTGGTAGTTCGACTATCAAGTTGGCCATAGCTTGCTGTGCCATTTTCCGTACGTCTTCGTCAACATGTAGACAAACTTTAGCTAGTATTTCTAAAATCTCTTGTTTAGTCATATCAATAGGAAGCAGACGAGGAATACAGGCAACACAAGTCTTTAGTAAATCCAGTTTAGGTTTACGATCTGCCCTATTCGAGCAAAATGAAAGAAAACAGTACATTAAAAAATAAAATACTTGTGTACATTTCAAGTTCGTTGTGGACTATTTGAAATTATTAAACGGACACTAAACATGCGGACAGACTGCACATTATTATTGACATAGCATCAGTTATAATTTACCTTATGATTTATTCATACTATTGTTATTTTTAAAGGTAATGAGGGAGTTGTTCAGAATAAGCTCACCAGCTTAGTAAATCAGCAAAATGGGTTTAAAAGTTATTTAGTGTTTTTGAGGCATTGATGTTTAAAAACGACAAGCATCTCTAACTAAGATGAGAAACGTTGATAAAACAACTCGAAAAAAGGGGAGATAACTATCGTGTTTAAGTAAACCCAAATAAATTATAAAAGATATTGTTTTTATACATACAAAAACTGAATGTTGAAGTCCGATAAGGTATGTCCAGAAAACATCTTACATTTAGTTTACAGTTGTCTCCATTTAGTAAACTAATATTTTTTATACTAGGGAATATCTTTTAAGATTCTCTGATACATGGAGTAGAGATACTACTACTTACACAATCGAAGTGTTGATGAAAGGCAGGTGACTACTATTTAGAAACAGCTGAGCCTACTGCCAATGTTCCATAAAGATAACTAATACCGACATGTCTATGGCTCCAGAATGTGTTATGGTAAAAACTGAATTTAGATACAATCTCCCTCAAAATGGCAGTATTAATGAAATATTGTGGAATTTATAGGATGGACTAATAGATAAGCAAGAAGTCTAAAGATGGTACCCTTTATTATAAGAAAAAACAGAAAAATTAAAAAAAAATTAGCGATAGGTGTGTTTAAAAGAAATACAGACAAATACCCAACGTATTAAATGGTTGGAGAGAGTCACCAAAAAAGCTCAGACCTTGATTTTGTGCTTTTGACAGTGGCACACTTGCAATCCTGGAAAGACCTATACTCTTTGTGAGATTCAAACATGTGTCATCCAGCGTCACGGTTTCAGACATTGCTGACGAGCTATTTGGACCCAAAGTTACGTCTCACTAACGAGCATCAACTAGCAAGAAACTAGGTTCAGGGTTTACTGTCGGCTACCTCCAAATGTTTAACATCTCAATGTGGTGAACGCAATGCCAATTCACTAACGCTAGTGACCATATTGCAACTTGAGCGATAAAATTTGATTAACATTAAAGGTCTGAACAAACACTTCTCAGAGATCAACCAACTATGAATAGTGTCCTACCAACATACAACAACCAACCCCAAAAAATAAAAGTATGAGAATCATTCGCGTCAGTGTTTAAAGAATGGATGAAATTCGGCTATCAGTGGAATCCAGGACATGCGTTTCTTTTTATTCCAGCTTCGTTAACTGGGTGTACCTGGATCCTTGAGTTGATAGAAATGAAGGTATGATAAATCATTAACAGCACCCTTTATATATCTACAAGAAATATGATAGCATAAACTTTCAGCTAATTATACTAGAAACCCTAGTTTAGTTCAAAAAGGACGAAAACATTTACCTAAACCAGAAATATTTGTGATTGCTTAAAATTACTTCTTTTTATTCAGTGGATTCATAAAATATGTGATGACTATATCATGCCACGAGGGTAAGGAGATGCATTAAATATATCTGTACATTCAAAAGCTGTTATTCAGAAACAAAAAATTGGTAGTCAAGTTAAAGGTTTTAAAACAGTCAAATAAAGCGGTTAAAATGTCTGTGATTTTTAAAATAACATTAATCAAAAAGAAGTAATATGAATACTTGGAAAAGAAAACACCTAAACCATAAACTTGAAACATAGACCTTCAAAACAATGAAATTAAGTCCAGCTTACGTCATTAACTCGTCAAATTCTTTTTGAGTAACTTCTTGTTTTGGTAACATCATTGGACGACAAACTTGAGTATCCAGCTGACGTAAAATGTGTTCAAATGCTCTTCGAACAGGTACCAAATAACTTTGTATTCCTAATAAAGAACCCAATGCTTCATTCAAATTGGTACCATGAAAAGAGCGTTTAATAACAGCTTGCCTAAAACCACCACCAACCCCGCCAGCACCAATGGATTGTTGAGGCATGGGCGGTTCCCCCTCCTTCTGTTGAAGACCATGGGCAATCAGCAGAAATGCACATATACCTACGTTTATTCGCTAAAAAGAATAATAAGAATAACAAGTAGAGAAAAGATAAACTTACAGACAATTATTAGTCTGAGGAAATTCACGGGAAGAGAACCAGTTAGATGATGTACAACTTCGACAAATAACATAATGACATAGTCAAAATTATTTATTAAAAACTGCAAAATATATTTTTATTACCGAATGGAATCCTTATTCCTAATTCTTAGAGATACCATTTAGAATCGTACGAAAAGGTGGTCAAAAGTGAGATAATTTGAAACGATTTTAAGGGAACACCTCGCTTTGGATTAAATCTATATCGAACCTCCTCTGTAAACAATTTTAGGTAGTGTTCTGTTGAAAAAGCTGGCTTTTTCTCTCAAAACTTCAAGAATTACCCATATAAGTACTGAATAATTGGTAAATATTCAGGTTCTCGTGCATATCCCATATAACAACTTTTACTTCTCCTTGCCGAAAATCTTATCACCATAACATTTGTGGTATTACTGATTTTAGGTTGTCATCCAACCTGTGAGAAAAAGTAGAAATAATCAATTCATTTAGAGCAAACCGACTAATTCTTTATAATTGATCTACTAAAATAGGATCAATAAGTACCATTTAGTAAGGACCCACTCGACATAGTATTATGCATGTATGGAATTTAAAAAATATACAAAACACACTAGCTTGTAATCCTGCGAGTGAATATATATATATATATATATATATATATATATATATATATAATTTAGATTCACCTCTGGCATCACCAAAGTTTTCTGCAATCCATTCACCCCTAGCCGCTCAATGATAACTTCTTTCATGGCAAACTCAAGCTTTTCCTGGTTGAAAGGAACAAACAAAAAGAAAAGTATCAGTATGACCATTAGGCAAACTAACTTTCTTTGTAACAAAGATTGTCAACAATAATTTATACAAAAAAACGGCCTATTGTATTTTCAGATCGCGACCAATAAATATGGTTTCATCACTACAATTAAGTAATACACTTGGGATACTAATTTTGTGAATACGTTCTGGATTTCATACAAAGTACTAAGCAATGAAATCCAGTCCATTACGTCTCATGGTAAAGGTTGGGATTCCCAGGAAATCACGAGGCCGATGCCACTTTTTACAACCAGAGCAAAAATTAACATAGGTATATGGAATTTCCGGACACTGTGGGATACCGGGAGGATTAGTCAAATGGCTGTGTGTTAGAGAGATATAGATTGGACTGAAGAATGTTCCGTACAGGGACACGCTGATTGGCCATTTATTAATCAATCAGAGCTAGCAGATACTTGGAGAAGACTCTAGGGTCTTCTTACGTAAAAAATTATAAATATACTAACGTTTTTTTAATAATGATCCTTACTTCCATCCAACTTTGTTATTTGGAATATAATTGCGTTTCTGTCTAACTGTGTTCTGATTTGAGGACTTTTCGAGTGAAGTAATGCCGAAGAATACTAAGCAATAAGAATAGCTGGATCGTAGTAAGAGAAAACATAACAAATTTGATTAATAATAATCAACATTGGTGTACTTCCTAATGCAATTTCCCAGTTTCAAACGATATAGACATGGATTCGCTATTTATCTACTTGCCTGAATATCTTTTCAAAACAAATAATAATCATCATTTCAATTACTTTTCACAGGTTTGTAACCATGTAATGTTTAACCCGTGTCCTTTCGAACCGCTAATTTATGCACACAGTGTTTTGAGTACGTAAATTAAGAACTGGAATACTAAACTATTTCAGATTGTAAACAATCACCAGAAAATAAATGAAATAAATATTCCTATTCTTTGATTATTATTTTCACTGCAGACAACTACACTAACAGCTTGTTTGCTTATTTGGATAACCAAGTGGACGTGTGCGAAAAGTCACCAACAACTCGTCCATTCAGTCAAGGTCTTAAAAACACCTTAATATACGTTGATTCATAGAAAGTAACAGGACTTTTTTCCCAATAATCGATTACATGTAACATATCGTGATTATTTCAACGAATTAGATAAATACAGGTTTGTGTAAAATGCCTTGAGGCAGACTTGTTGGAAAGCGTCTGAACAAATTATCAAGCTTCAAGTAAGTGAAACACGATCTCAGTTAAAAACTTAATAAATAGTAATTAAAAAGCTCGAACATATATCTACTGAAATGTATAGCATGTATCAATTAAACGTAACAAAATAATATTAAATTATTATTAAATCATTTACTATTTGGCTAAATGCAAACAAAGCCAAAAGGTTTAAAAAAATGAGTCAATATCCAAATTATGGTACTACACAACAGTCACTTACATGAGCAATAAATTGAATAATACGTACAAATATATTGATCGGTGCATCTTTTGGTAGAATGATTTTCTGATTTTTTGGAAATAAACTATTGATAATTGTGTGTAATTTTGTTTGAGTTTCCGTATGTTTTTCACCTTTGATACGTACAATGTAGACCCTGAATATAAATTAAATGATTCATTTTGAAAAAATAGCAATATAATTTGAAAGGCAGCAGTGATAACATTTAGAAGTCGTGTATCATTGAGAAGTTTATGAGTACAAGTGAAATAAACATTTATAACAATTAATAACTTTTTAAGTGATCACAACTGTCGATGGCAGTTAACACAGTCTGCCTGGAATCAGTACATCTTTAATCAATAAGATGTAAATCCATAATGTATTTTTTCTCTACGCGGTAAAAGGCCGATCACACACTGTACAATGATTAACAATACTAATTTATTGTTAAAACTTCAGATATGATAAGTGTGGAGGATTAATTCCTCTTTATCTGACTCCAATAAATAAATAATATCCCGCTAAATGAATATTTAATGCAGGCTAAATCTCCTAGTAAAATTATGGGTTTACTCGAGATTTTTCAAAAGCCTGAACACCAGTTATATTTATTTTATTTATTGTTATTTATTTTAAAATAAAAATAAGACATTCAATAAATAAACAAGAGTAATATTTATTTGCGCATACAGTTCAGCCTAAAATACGATGTAGATTAATTTCATCAGCCTAAAAAGGTTCGTCTTATGTTTGTAAAGAATGTTGTGGAAGACTGCCATAAGCTCACCACTAGCTTGTGTATTGATCTATATTTGGTAGGGTTTCAAGCCACAGTTTATTTATTTATTTAAACATAAATATTGGTACAAGGAAGCACCAGATACTCATGCGCCGCACAAATCTCATTTGATTTGTGTGAGGGCTGTGATACTGCCCAGGCGCCGAAACTGAAGCAGGTGGTTTTCTTAGGGGGCCACACCCGGAGCCTTTGACCTAAAGGTCTGATCCACAGGCAGTGGAGCATCGTGAGGAGATGCAGCCCGATGGTAGCCAGTGGCCAACGATTGATTCACATGCCATTCGTTCCCAAAGGATACTGGAGCCCATGTGCACCATTAGTTTGGAATCAGGGCTTTCCAACTCCCCTAGGTGGACTCGCCGTGTCCACCAACCCGGTTAAAGTGCCGGGCATTCGCTTTTCGTCCTCTCAATTTCGTAAACAACAACATTACAGAGAACACACAAATAATACAGTAGTTGAATGGGCTTGCTACGTAAGCGTTGGATTCTGTGATCATGTAGCTAAAAACGGAGTCCTTGGTCCACTTCCCGACAGTTTTACATTTGTGACACTGTTACTTCTACACTTTGAGATCTAAAAGAATATTTCAATACATAGATTACTATTATTATTATTATTATGTCGTGTGAACCATAATTCAATAATACGTAGAGAAACCCTTTTAGTCACAACAAAGAGAATGTAATCAGTGGACAACAAACATTAACTTTTTAGATTTTCATAACACGTAAGAGTCCATTGGATTAACACGATTGCCATCAGAACACAAAAATCCATAAGACCCTCTGTGTAATAGTCGAAAACATTTAACCGCTTAATTTCATAGGTGATATACTTCAGACGAATGTAAACGTTAATTAACGAGATAGGTGAACAAAATGCATAAGTTGCTTTTTGTACAACGTTGATCTGGATAAACAAACAAACCAAAAGTACACACTTGTCATCGTACCAACAGTTGAATGATAACATAACTGATTTTGATTGTTGAAACTAACAGCTTAAAACTTACCACAGTATGCAGGATAATGATTGCAAACTGACCAAAGCTACTTTAGAAGTCCGATTTTTAAGGTGACTTAAGCAGATAGACAAGAAATTGGTCCAATTATTCAAGAAAAATGATTTAGTACCAACACACAGCAAGCAAGTCACTAACGGAAATAAGGCCTTTGAGAAAAAAAAGAGCATAAATGCAGTTTGAAAAGCTACTGAAGTTGAGGAAATACTCTGTACAATGAAGGTATGCAATTATTACACAACCATAAAAGTTGTCTTCTAAACGGGTACACTTATCAGAACTACTTGTTTACACATATATTACCTGTACATTATATTGCAAACAATAACAAGATACTAAATACGTAGTCTTCTCTGTCAATTGAAAAACTATCATCAACAACGAGTGACAATCTTTTGTTTGTAATCCTTATGATTGTAAAACGATTACCCCTTGCTTGGTTCGGACGTCAGAAGAGAGGCCCAGACTACATACATACGACCTAGCACTTGCTCCTGTTATGGATGGTGTCGAACTTTTGATCAGGCAACTGACTGGATTGTTCGTAAAAGTTTGAGAAACATAGACCACTAAAACATTTTGGAATTCAGCGATTTTTATCCCCATCTTTAGAAAGGACCCACGTAATTTAATTGACAGCTAAGGGGGGATATCTACTTTTGGTTGTGTCCAAACTAATGGCTTTTGTCATAATCTGCAGATGATACTAAACCCGAGATAAACTGAGTCGCGGGGAGCAAGATGGTTTCCCACCAAGTCGTAGATGTATTCATCATATTTTCACTTTTCACCAAGTATTAGAGCACTACCAAATTATTGTAGGCCAATAATTGTTCTGTTTCTTGACATCAGGGTCGATTTCCATTTGTTGGACAGGGCAGTGCATCGAGATACCCTATTGAAGGAGGGTGTGGCTGAAGATTTTATTAATACCTTGAAGGTTTTGCATATAAACACCTCAGGAAGAGTGAGGGGATATAACTATTGTTCAATTGTTCAATCTTACCAGCCTTCTTAAACTTTGTCAACAATGGCATTATGGAAACAAATACACACTACCACCGAGTACTTCTTTCAAAGCTACTTCTTAGAGAGATCTTATGACCTTGAGTATAGAGATGATATTTGCTTACTGTGCGATAATAAACAACCTATCCGAATAGCACTTAATTAGCTAGTAATCAGTGTCCATAATCATGGCATGTAATTTGCACTTTTTAAATCCAAAACATTTCTGCAAGACTGGCAGAAACATGTGTCTGCACACACTTTTGGGGTGATCCGTTAGAAGTAGTAGTAGTAGTAGTAGAGGACAAACCAACTTCCAGCTGAAGAGGAAATCAGGAAAAGACGTCGGAAGCGGATAGGACATGCATTGAGGAAACCATCAAACTGCATCACGAGGCAAGACCTAACGTGGAATCCTGAAGGGAAACGGAAAAGGGAAAGACCAAAGAACACATTACGCCGGGAAATAAAAGCAGATATTAAAAGGATGGTTAGCAACTGGAAAGGATTGCCCAGGACAGGGTTGGATAGACGGCCTATGCTCCTCCACGAGGGGTAACAGGCGTAAGTAGTAGTAGTAATGCTAATCTGCAGATTCCGATAACATTAGGGTTAATAAAAAAGCTAGTAATTAAATAATAATAAAATGTGGTCTAACATTTTGTTTAATTCAAGTCGTTCAATAATGCGCAACAACTTTATATCATTTTATATAATATATATGCAAAAAGATACTTACTGGGATATGTTTCTTCTTATTAGCCAATTCCAAACTTGTTGGATATAAATTTTCCACAAATGTTTTTAATGCTGGGATGTTGACTTCTTGGCGTGCAACAGCAGCTACTGGCAATAAAATTTCAACAAACAAATCAGAGAGTACATGCTTGATTTCAATTTCTTTCACTTCCAAATAGTATTGACCTAATTCTTGTAAGAATGTGAAACATTTCACAAAATCTTCGATTGGATGCATCTGAAAAATATTTTAGAAGTGTAGAAATGTATTAGGAAAATGAAACATCAGACCGTATAAAAATTTCCAAAAACAAAATTGGTGATTATAATAGCTTTACTACGGAGAGGTTAACATACTCTTAGACTATGATTCGAGTGTTACCATATTAATACTTAAAATGTAGTAAATGAAACGCTATTTCTCCAACAGTATAGACTACTTTCATTATTACGGCCTTGGATTATATGTATAATTAATTACAAGCAGAATAGCTAATAAATACTACATTTGATATATGGTCCAAACACTGGACTAGTGGACTTATTCGAAACTGATTAGGTTTTATTTGAATCATGCAAAAATTACCCAGCTTACTGATCTAGTTGTGAAATTTTGATCAGTCTCTTAAATGGATACAGAGGTACACTGTTGTTAAGTGAGGACAATAATATAGTCAGAAACACCCAATAGACAACTAAGGAATCTATAAAAAAATGAAAACCTCGTGAACAAACCACTAGAACGATACGTTTGGCTGCACACAAACTTATACAGTGCAGTTTAACATAAAAATACGTACTCCAGATAATTTAGTGGTTCAATGACCGAAATATTCCGCTTAAATGGGTCACATAGTATGAAGGACATTTAAATAATAAAAAGCCTACTCTTGTGTTAGCATGTACTGTTTAATTTAGCTTGATAGTTCACAATTTTATCTAAATTTATTGATATAATCACCGGTTAAAAAACTTACTTTAACTCGGAAAAACTTCATCCCCATTATAAGGGATACAATACTAGCTCTGTTATTTTGACTGTTTTCTTTCGATCGTAGATCATTCAGACAACTCATAAATTTGTGGCGTACCAGAGCAAATCTGAGTATAGAACAAAAATATATGAGCCAGTTACGAATACAGTATCTTACAGCCCAGTAAAACTTAATAGCATATTCTTATTTGAAAGTGTTTGGTAAGTAAACTTGGTAAGCTGTCTAGAATAACATAATATGATATAGTGATGTACGCATATTTTTTATTGATTATCGAATATGTTAAGCGCTAAGCCATTAAGATTCATTATACCACTATTTGTCACTATCAGCAATAGTAGCAGAAACAATCATCTTGAATATTTATAGGTAGTAATATACCTATGTCTAGATAAGTACTAAATTCAATTAACTTCCCGAGGGGATATTGAGTCGTAATAATAAAGCGCTATTTGGATATGCGACTTTTAACCAATACTTGTGAACAGTTGAACGTACACAAGTAAGAAACTTGGGGCTTGAGGTAAAAATTAACTATCTACTGTAAATCTATGAAATAAAAGTCCCATTTTAAAACAGTTGCATACATTTGTATCGTACATGTATAGTTAAAAAATGAATAATTAAAAAAAACGCAATAAAATTACCTTGACTGGAATAACAGTCCAACAATTTCTGCGTATAGATCAGCAACGAGATTAATATTTTCACTGTTTTTCGGCTGCAAACTGTATTTTTTTCAAAAACAAAAACATTTTCGATAGTCACATCACTAATATAAAATAGTGCTCGGTAGAAAAACAGTAATAGCTGAACAAATATATGAGAATCTCGCGTAATGATTAAAATTTTAAAGAACGAATTTAAGTTGGGATTTAAAAGCTTTTGCTTATAAAACCATATGAATAGAAAATTGTTTTAATTTACAGCTATTCTACATTGTCCGGTCAAAAATAGCACTACTTTAAGAATAACGTTAAAGACTTACTCCTCTCTATAGTTAAATCTTCCGAAACATTGCTCTAAGATTGATTCAATAACATCATTATGGCCTGGATGAAAAGGCAATTGCTTTAAAACTGCAAGCATGACATGACAGAATATAATATCAATGGCAAGCTGAAATTAAAATGTAATATAGATATGTGTGATAACATACATCGCGTCGTTCAAATAAAACAGATAACTCTGGTAAAGGTAAATTGTGAGATTTTGACAGCGAAGATGATTCTGAGGCACATTTGATAGTCTTTTCTGATTTATTGGCAGCAAGATATGAAACTTGTTGACTTTCAACAACATGATTACTATCGTTAGCTAAAGGACGTTGGACCGCCATTGAAGTAACTTTTCCAATGTACTCATTAGCTGAACTTAAAGACTGAAACTGGTGGAGTTGATAATATCTCCCAGATGAGTGCTGAGATCTATACCACAGTGAAAGTGTCGACAAAATTGAAGGAAGAGCGAATTCAGCGGCAACACCAAAAGCACTTATGAGATGTTCATATGCTGTATCTTCATTTAGTTTCATGCTTTTCACGAGGTTTGTTTCTTGTCCATCTCCAAGTGCTTTCTCAATCTTCAATTGGGCTACGTTTGTTAACTGACGTAGCAGAGCCTGCATGACCCATTCTCCAGGCTTCGTAGATGTCATTTTAAAGTGCGCAGAGCAGAAAAATATTGATTATGATAAACCACTACCCAATGCAGCACACCAGGAAACTCTATTTATAAGGATAAAGCAAAAAGTGCCACAAGTAAATGACCAACACATTGTAACATATGATATTCAACGTATTTTATGAGATGTAAAGCGAGTGTGGCCAAATATTAACAAATCTGTTTATTATTAGTCAATTCTGGTCAGGGTTAAAAAAATAAACAGAAATCCCGAGGACCACAACACAGAATATTAAGAGCCAAACTGATTTTCATGTGATATTGGTCTCTGAAAAGCCAAATACAACAACACTACACACTTCCACAAGATTACCGGAAACCCATGTTTATATATACTCTTAGAAGTCGAAGAATCTGTTTGAGGTCCAGTATTCAAACACGTGTGATTCGGGAAATAAGATTGTAGGCTACAGTTAGTCATATTCTAACCTTTTGTTAGTACTGTATGGATCAAGTGTACATGGAACAATACTTTAGAACCACAAACTTTCAGCAGCGCTGACAACTGAGTACAAAATGTCTAGTAAAGAACAGACTATTACCTTCCCCAAAATTGGTCAAACAAGATCTCAACAGCAATAGAGTTGTTTAGACATAGTTGTTGGAAAATGAAATCGTGTTATATCCCCCGGTGAATTACGAATGGTAACTTTTAGGTATATTTATGGATCAATGTAATATGCCCATTTCCTATTGTACAATTATTACGTAACTGAACTGTTCATATTCGTATTTCTCTTATCATTAGCTTTATTTTGACCTTGACTTATTATCATACGATTCTTGAGTTATAATCAGTTTATTGATTACTTTGGTTCGTATAAAAACCCAGTGTGTTTGTAAATAATGATTCATACCACTGAGGCTGTTATTGGTGTTTTGGACTTAACTGGCTGGGCTAGGCAGATCGCAGGACCGGTTAGCACTCTAGTCTGCTCGTACGGGTTTCGTGTCTCTGTTCCAATCGACAATTCGCTGCTCCCTGTTTGGCGGTTCTATTGCGTCACGCATCAACTAGGCATCCACTCGGCCAGATATAACAAATCGTTACAGGAATACTAAGTAAAAAAAGACGTGGAAAATTCTGGTCGTCACATTTCTTATGACAAGTACTAAATGAAGTTTCACGGATGCGACCCGCCATAATTGTGGCTATCTAACTAAAACTACTCGACTAGGAAAAACATGGTGAATACCTACAAAAAAACTAACTTCTACTACGTGGGAATGCAAAAATCTATGTAAGACAACCAATACAAGTGCTCTATGCCCTGAGAACTATAAATAAGACAGCAAAACATATAGTCACCAAATACACTGAACCACTGACGGAAAATATCTTACAGTGAACTCATTTACAGATGATGGGTTGCAAGTTGCTTGTTGAAGTATTACACCAGAAATCTATATGGATGAAATTAAGTAATTTAATTGGCAATTAAAAATATATGACTTCTCTTTCGTATGCTGTAAAACCAGTCTTTAAATACAATAGCTGTCATTATACTTGTTTTCCAACTTAAAACTTCAATAAGACGTTGATCAGCAGAGCAGGCCTGCTAATTACTGCTAGGATACATGGGAAAAATCCGTATCCGAAAACAGTACTAAACCAATGTTCCCAATTACTACTTATTCCGAATCACCATCTTTACCTCATCAAAATATTTAAATTTAGGGATACCTATACCTTTTAAATGATGTAGGACTGCATTTCTTAGACCTTGAGAATAGTTTTTAACCTACGTTCTGTTTCCTTCACTTTAATTTAAAAACAATCGGGTATCCAAGTTAAACTTCAAAACGGATAAGTTTTGTTTCCTTAATAATAATTAGCAAAAGTTCACTGCTAACTGAAATGCATGTGGAATATCGCACGAATTGTTTGTACTATCTAAAATACGTAACTACAACATCCGGGTTACAATCCTTATGAGGAATACAAAGGGTATCCGCTACTATCCACACTTTGTAAAAACTATTATTTAGTATTACATAAAAAAGTTATCGAATAGTAAGCTCATTTATGAATAACTTCAACTTATATAATAAAAGCTCATGCTACATTTATCCTACAAACCCATCATAAAACGACCCATCACATAAAAGATGTGCGGGAGAGAAATTTTACTGTGATAAACGAACAACTGGCATGTATAGGAGTTCTTGAAAGTATAGAGAAGTGACCCATTTTAATATACATACATAAATATGCTCCGTATGTCATGAAGCCGATAGTAGCTTATAGTAATGGGCTGTTAGGTTTAATGAGACCAAATTTCGTAACCCAAATTTACGTTAGCTGGAGCAACCTACATTTCAGCATTACCTCTTCTGGGCGACGACCAATAAACGGGTCCAGGTCTAACCTAGCGTATGAAAACATATCAACCGCCAGTAGTTCGTTAAACATATTCAGGCCCTAGACATCAAACCTTCCTCGGCAGGATTAGTCAACTATATGATCCTTGTGATCTGCGTATGGGTGGTTGAAGATCATTCTTAATGATGTGAAGGTATAATCTTTGTTATTGTTCTTCAATAATCAGAGGGTAAAACAAGATAGTTGGTTAGGATAAAAATTGTGGCGGTAAATAAATCTCCAAAATAAATAGTTCCGTTAGTCATCGACGGTGATATCGACCTCACTAATTTTAATGTACATATCTAGCTTAAGGCACTCGGTCATGCATTCACACCAGATCAATAATGAGTATCCTGTTGTAGCTCTAAATAATTCCCCAAAATCAATAGCTCATTAAGTGTTCGACATTGGATGCTGACCACGTTGTTTAAGTGGACTTGTTTAGTTGAAGGCTTTCGGTCATGCATCCGTACCAGATCACATTTCAACTCGGCGTGGGACACTGCTCCTACGTTCATTAGCCAGCTTATAGTAAAGGTTCCTCGATATATTGGTAACGTATCAAATATATCTTTCCTACCTCTCCTCGTCTGACTTCTGGTTTCTATTCGACTGGGAAAGAACGATTATAGAAGATACTACTGGTTGCTAGTTGCCAAACTAGAATATCCGTGGTATCCTCACTGTGCTACACATCTACAACTGTTAGCCAGCTTAGATCAAACGCTTCTCGAGATATTGATAGCCTTTCAAATATATCTCTGAACCTTCCCACCTACGACTTCTTATTTGACCAGATTGACGTACTTTGATTATAACGTTGTTACTCGTAAAGGTGTTGTTAAACTCTTTATAGTGATCGTTGTGTGACACCAATGGTAATCGCCCCCAGTAATTGAACGTCGACAGTTATTTTGAAAGCCTCAGTAGAATGAGCTATCACTATCGCTTCTGATGTGAAGTTATATAGTGTTTGATTCTGATCACGAAGAATTTTACACTGATTTTATGGAAGATCGTTTGTATTCCATTTTAAATGGATATACTTTTGAGTGTAGTTTGGTAATGAAATGAATTAGTGATCCGATTGGGTGGACGACATTATGAGCAATAAGATATGTTGACGTCATGTTCTCCTAATCCTTTTGTACTGTGCAGGTCGCAAACTTTGAGCATTCAGGCAAGCTGACTGGGATTTATTTTTTTTAGTTTAAGGACTTCTATGATTGCTCGTCTCAGAGGGGGTTGAAGATACGACCAGGATTCTAGTTTGACAACTGATAACCAGTAACACCTATATTCCAATCGTCCCCCACTGGGTTATAATCAGATGTCAGGTGCGAAGAGGTAGGAAATATGTATTTGATGCGCTATCAATATATCGAGAAGCGGTTGCTCTAATCTGGCTCATGAACGTAGGAGCTGTTTCCCACGCTGAGTCGTAACGTGATCTGGTACGGATGCATGACCGAAAGCCTTCAACTAAACAAGTCCACTTAAACAACGTGGTCAGCATCCAATGTCGAACACTTAATGAGCTATTGATTTTGGGGAGTTATTTACAGCTTTATGGTGATATTCCATTCAAAAAAGAGTTCGTCCAAGGGGATTTTTTAAGTAAGCAATATAGATGGCTTTAAGTGATCCTTGAGTTAGAGCACCACCACTGTTCACCACTAGGACTCTGACTTTCCTGAAATTCGGGAGAAAATGTCTTTGTTTACTCAGTCACATTTCCTATTCATCTCATCATGAATGGACATCAGTCACACCTTTTATCTCTTAATATCTCTCAGCCATCGGTATATATCAAGATTTTAGATTATATGGTTCCAGGTAAATCGTTAGTAGACAATATAAAAAGAGTGGTTCGAATGTTAAGCTTTCTAGGACTCCATTTGTTATTGAAAATCAATCAGTCCGAAAGCAATCCCATCAAATGCCCAATAGTTTCAGCTAATGTGTTTCAGACAGAGATTTTGATGATCCGCCCTATCGATTTTATGGTAACCCTCCTACAACACTTTCTGGGCAGCGAATTGAAGAACAAGTTCTGAAATAACACAGGCGTGGGCCGTGCCATACTGAAAGTGACTCCATCATATACCAAGTCACGTTTTATTGGGTTCACTTCTCTCTGTTTTATGGAGTAATGAAGTATGACTGGCCTGTAGAAGTTTCTGGATTCATGTTTAGGCTACCAGGTGCAGTTGAATAGAAGTCAAAGTGAAGCTTTCTTCTGTTGAATCGTTCACCAATCCATTTCAAGATGGAGGGAATAGTTACTCTCTAGATTTCTATCCAGCTATTTGGTCGATCTTTCTTTGCTTCCAAGAATCCTGGTTCATCTCCAGGAGCAAGGCCTATAATACCAAGTTTCGGAGGTGGCCATTATCGTATCGGGTAGTTCCGGAGTTACTCAATTAGGTAATGAAAATTAATTGAGCAGCCAAGGTCCTAATGAGAAGTTATCGGCAGACTCTAAGACAATCTACTTGGACTGTCGGAAATTAGCATGAAGCTTATGATCTCCTTAGTGCCAATATATGCTCATTCTCCATGAGTGACTGTATTTGGGCTCATAGTTTGTATTGAGAACGTTGAATCTTCAGAACTCACCTGGAAAAGGTCCTGATTCTGAAATTTTATTCTGAAAATCTTAAATTCATGTTTTCGCGCCAAGAAACGCTTATTTGACCTACAGCTTACGTTCCCCGTCCGGAAATCCTTGACTGTCATTGGTTGGCGAATTTTTTAGTGCTCTATTTTGTGGCTCTCCCAAGGGAGTTTCTATCATTGTAAAAATAACCTTGATTTGTGCGCTTAGTGACCTCGTATTTTCTGGGGGCTTGTAGAATACATTCTCTACGCCTCATCAAGACTTTTCGATATAGTTAGCGGGGCCGGGGACAATGTATTAGAATAGCCTATCATATCACTGTGTCTTCGGCATTCATTCCGTTTGCCGAATAAGGTGAACTCGTAATAGCACCAAGCATATCACTTTGGTGCCACCTTCGGATCTGAGTGAACAAATTTAATAGGGTCAAGTTAATGCTAGTCACATCGATTTTAGTCCTATAACTTGGGACGAAAGCAGTGGCAATGTGTGACTTTGATGTCATATCCTTCTGAGAATTAAAAACCCTTAAGCTTGGGATGTCGTCTTGATGAGAAAGTTCTATTGACTTTGGAGATTTGCAATGCTTTGTCGTTTTTTCCTCCCTCTCCTTGTCTTCGCATCTACATCGTGGTAGGTAGACTCATTAGTCACTACATTGAGAGTTTGAAAAGTCACAGCTGCACCATTACTTCTTCATGAAGGCTTGATCGTTTTAGTAATTCGACATCAAGTGTACGTCTGTGATGAGTCGAAGAATTTTTTGTGTGGATTAGATCAAGTAATGCAAAGCCAGTGGCTATCATGTTACCGGATAGGCTTCTGGTTGATCGAACTGTGGAACAGTTCACAGTAAGAACGGAAGGAAGGTGCTAATGGCAGTCATAAATTAGTCTCCCAAGGGAACAAATAATAGAATAAATAAGTAAATATGTAGAAACCACGGTTAAAAGAAAATGGTAAGATATAGTTTTGGATGTGAGGAGTTATGTACAACGATAATAAGCAATTAGTGATGGGTAAACTTTGAGACCATGCAGACAAGGTTATTGAGTGTAGAAACGCTTATGTCATTTGACCTACCAACGACTGCGGCTGTGCTTGTTCTCGTAGCTCAAGCTTTGACAACAATTGTTCTCGTGATGTAGACGGGTTTTGTGAAGTTTTTTGTGGGCCGAAATACATCGAGAAAATTTTAGTGAGTTGTATTTTGGATTCATTCTGCCAAAGAAAGTCAAGCTTTATTAGTTGTGACGTGGCAAGCTAATCAGAAGCAGCCTAATGAGAAGGATAGTCGATGACAATCAGAAGTAACCTAAAGGACATGGGCATTTTGTTGACTACGAAATCGGTAAATTTTCTGAGTAGTAGGGTTGCACGCACATAAGTTAGTATTCATGCATTTTATTCGGTAGCCCAACATACTTTCTCGCTTGCTTTCATCTTCATGCCCGAGTAGTCAGTTGGGAGGTAGTGCGCAAAATGTCGTGCCGCAGCATCAGATTTTGGATACCGCCCGTCGCAGAAGGTTGATTCTCGCTTAACACATACCTATCTTGCAACCAACATAGGTCCTCCACATTTTACTTATGCACATCAACATGTTTATTCCTTTTACTAATAACAATTTCAATATAAATGCTCAGTAAACAGCTGCCGACACATTATATAACAGTTATGTTAAATTAAATATAATCTGCTTACGAAGGATGACCAGCATGGTGCACCAAAATGTGATCTGACCGAAAGCCATTAGCTAGAGCTGGGTCCATTAGAACTAATGAGGTCAGTATCAATTTCAAGGACCTACAAAGCTGTTTGTTATGGAAATTTATCTGACATTGCACTAACAAAAACTTGGAATCGCACAAGCATGCGACAAAGAAATCGGACATAAAGGTTATACAGAGGCTTGAACTCCCTAGGATAGAGCCTTTGACCGTCACACGGCTCACTCAGGGGAAGGACTCTAATCACCTAAACCACCCGAGGCTGCTTCGTGTTACACTCAAGAATGCCTCCGACGTAGAGGACGTCCTGCTAGCCAGTCACTTACTGAAGTCTGATGGGAACGTAAGAATACTGCCAGACATACCGTATTCTGAACGAAATCTCATCCGGAACATCCCTAAGGAATCTCGCGAGGCGTTTTTCCGTGGACGAAATATCATTGTGCAAGGTGTGTCGGAAAATATGGACCCAACTCAAGCAAACTCTGATATTCGGGAATGGAAATTCATTAAGCATTCCTTAAAACTCAATAACATATTGACCCAACAGGTAATGCGACTAGCCAAGAGAGAAGGAGACTCTAGGCCCTGGCTATTGAAGATAACCTTCCTCTCCTCCCACATGGCGGCTGCAACTCTGGAAGCATTTCGTGCCAATAGACGTCGGTTGCCAACTGGCATCCATATGTATC